TAAGGGAGAACATTAAAACTCTAGACGGTTTAGGGAGAGAATAGCGTCTCATCCATGTCTGTGTCATGGAATTTTCGTTTTATTTGTGCTTTAGCTTTACGTTATTAGACTTGTTAAAACAAACAAGATCAGCATCATTGTCGAATATTGCCAAGGCTGTTTATACTGGGAAGATCATAAAATTAAAAACTCTGATACCTGTAGGGTAATCAACCTAGAAACTAAACCTTTGTTTATCTGTACACCACAATAACCACAACAACTTCTCAAGACTAAACTGTACTTCCTCTTTTCTGAATAGCTTTCTAATTTATCCACATTAAAATCAAGGGGGTTTAGTAAAACAAAAAGTGGTATTGAACTTGATATTTAATGTAGTGGCATCAGCGTTTATCCGAAACGTATTTTAGCAGCTACTAATCACACAGAAGCAATGAATGTGTGTTCTTTTAATTTTGTGGCATGAGTGAAATTGATTTACGTTTCCTCATTAAATTGGAATGGATTGAAGTAGTGAAAACATCTTCATACAATGAACATGAAATAACATACCTCTAAGATAGTTTATCAGAATTGTACTTTTCAGTGAATAAGGAAGTTTGTTCACTATTACTCCCAAGAATATGTACTAAATTCTCATTGGCTGGAAACTCATATGCCATTTGTGAGTAATTTTAATCTCTAATTAGTGAATTACATTTCAGCGTTTTCACTACTGTTTTCAGTCTGTGTCCGCCCATTAAATCAAGTGGCCCAGACAAAACGTACATGTGTCAGACCCACAAGTTTCTTGCCCTTGAAGGATGGAATGCGTTGTTGTAAATTCACCGGTTAGTAATAATAATAATAATTTATTCTCAAATAACATTTTGTTACATGAGGCATGCCAGTTTACAGGCAAGATCAAATTGTTACAAATGATACAAATTCCAACTGTAGTAAATTACTCAGCTGGGTCTATAATTTATAAGATATGGATGTAGAATGGTTTTAGTCAGTATCACAGTTAGCGCGCTTCATGAGAGTTGCGTTGCGACGTGCACTGAATTCACTGTTTTTGCACAAGGGACGTGTTCCAGACAACAGTATTGTTAGCTTTCCAAGCAACGCAGTTTCATGAAGTGTTTGCTGATTCTTAAGGCGACTAAAGTTTTAAGTTCAGATAGAAAACCTCACACAGATGAACAGCACGCCGCAGGCAAAACAGAATACCTGACAGATCTTGATGATTTGATGAATATCATCATCGGTCCAGCCTTGTGACAGAACAAAAGCATTATGCTGGACTCTAAGTCATAGTAGATGATGAGCACGTTAATGCACTAGATGCTGAAGAAGAAAATTTATCAATCGGACTAACCAGATGGAATGAAGTATCAGGAACTCTAAATAATGTGGGTCTACAGATATAAGTTCAGAACATAAAATCGATGTGACAAAGATTATGTTGGAGCTTAATCTACACTACGTGGAAGGCTAGGCCAAGAAGCACAGCATTAACAACGACTATTTAAACTTGCCTACTTTTAAACTAAGTACGAACGTCAAATTTAAAAACTACATAGTGGTTGTTCAAACTGTCAGCAGAGTAGAGCTTAAAGAAAAGAATCCGAGAGCTTACCAGGAGAGATCTTTAAGAGAGGTCAGTAATCTTTCGGAAGCTGACAGAGAATTCCGATAACGAGCCAAAGGCTATTTAAAGCAAAGATGAGTAGTGGCTAGGAGTGGAGTCCAGGACGTGCGTTTCGTCCTTTTTGAGACTTATCAGTTGGATGTACCTGCACCCCTGTGAAGGTACTAGGTTCGAGTGCCGGAGCGAACATCAACTGTGAGACGCAGGTACATCAAGCTGACGAGTTCCAAATAGGACTAAACGTACTTCCTGGACTCCATTGCTAGACACTATCGTCTTTGCTTAAAAAGCTTTTGACTTAAGGCTATAACGAGGCAGTCCGTACAATTTGCACATTTTGCACTAACAAAAGTCTGGTCAATTACAGTCCTAAATAACAAGTAAAACAATACTAAGTGAATTTGATCCAAAAGCTAGTTTGTAACATAATGAAAGTCAAATTAAGTCGCCAATATGCGAAATACATACGGGAACGGTAGCATGAATTACAGTACACAAATTAAACAGAATTAAATAAAAGTGTGCTCACAACATCTTTAGGCAAGTGGTCTACTTTAAACCCCTCTAAGAAATGATCATCTATCAAAAATTAACTCAAGCTGTTCAGGGTACGTAGTCCTGAATGAGTAGTAGGTGAGTTTTTCTTAACTAAACAGCAGTCATAGTCAAGTAGGCTCAGCAACCCAATAGTGGATATCTTCAATGCACCGTCTGAAAACTGAACTAACTCGGAGACATCTTTTGTTTTCATATTTTTGTAAACCACAACGTCGTCACTACCTTCGACTCAGAATATCATAGACCCCGTCAAATATATCTAAATGTGTGTTCTGGTATTATTTTTGATTCACGGCCATGATTTTGGCTATAAAAGCTACTTTTCACTTTTAGAGTGTGTTACGGGAGAACTGAAGACATTTGTCTCATTCAAACCTTTATATTAAATATTCTTATTTTCACTGTGTTCTTGGATGTATTCGTTTTACTCAACTTCTGAACTTGTTTGTTTAGATCATTACTTTCGGACATTTCGGTTTGTCGTTGGTTTGGTATTTGGGAGTTTTTACTCCAGGAACCTACAAAATTGAAGAACAACATTTGGGTCGACTATTTGTAAATTGAGAATTAACCTTGGTACCTTAATCGGAGTTTGGTTCTGTTGTTTATTTGGGTCCGTAAATTGCAAATAGATTGATATACCGCACTTCAATAACAAGAACGAGCAAAAACCAGAAGATAACAGAGTGAATTGGTCATTTTATTTAGAGTCACTGTTTATGTGATCTTTCAATCAACCACTGGTTCGTTATAGAGTGTGGAGGGCGGAAGTGAGAATAAAATACGTTCAAACCTTGTCGAACCATGGTCTTCTTCGTTATTAGTACTGCTCTAATAATAGATCTGGTCGTAAAATTGCAGATTTGTCATAATGTAACTGCCGGATCCATAAGATCTTACGTGGAAGTCACATTGTTGTCTACACTGAATCATCGTATCGTAACAATTACCAATTTATGATTGTGAATATATTTATGCTGGAGATAAAACAGTATATTTAATATGAGCAAAAGTAAGTTGTAAAGAGTGACCATGCCTGTGAGGCTGAGCCATAACCACCCAATTAATTAATTTACTCTTTTCATTCTTCCCGCCTTCCCTATCGTTGGGTTTTCCTCCGCGTTAAATATTGAACATCTATTTTTCCAGTCGTCTCGTGTTTGGCTTTAAGGATTGTGAGATTAGGGCCTAATGACGCTGCGGCCTTATCAATAGATTATAAAGGCAACCTCAGATTCATTTGTGAAAGAGGCATGTAGTAACCTCCAGCAGTTGGCCAAGTAAATAACCTAGCCATTTATACCATGAACAGTATTGGGGAGGAAAAAACACGACTGTTTCTGGAAAAAGCAAGAGATCCTAAGTTTAAGTTGGCAAATGAGAAACCTAGAGAATTTTGCCATTATCCCAGGAACAGCGAATAAAATGGAATGTTAGAAGTTCATCTGGAGTAAGTGCACACACACAACTTATGTATGTCGGTGGAAATATGAAAAGCAACTGCCACAAATTCTAAGCAGGCAAATGAAGCCACTGTCCTCATACATTAACTACAGGACAAGAGCATGCTCAAGGATTCCCGGTTTGAATGAGTCATTTAAGAGAGAACTAGACGCCTACAGAAGCATACTAGAAGAGGACTAACATGAACCAGATTTATTGCATTATTCATTCAACAGGGTATAAAATTCTTGTTTCGTTATCAAATATGAACCATTATGATAATTATCCTAACCAGACAAACCACACATACCAATATCATGTATATACAAAGCTCGGTAACGCTGTTGTCCGAAGCACCTAGTTATACGAGGATCCCAAAACCAGTCAAACAAAATGTTAAAAATGAGGGGATGCTTTGTGCCTGGAAATGCTCGATGTGTCGAACTACATATATTATACGATGACTACTTCTTTCAAAAGATGCTGAGCTAGGCGTCTCCAAATGTGATTCTGTAAGGATGTTTGACCGAGCGACTTCAGAAAAATTAACGAAGACATGACCAATTTTGAAGACGTACGAAACTATTTTTTCTAAGTATTTATTTACTTTTAAGTGAGGATAACTCGAATACGGTAAAAAAGAGAATACTGGTTTCAGAGTATATTCTGACTAAATAATTCAGAGAAAAAGTAGAAATTTGAATATATGGTTGTAAAGAGGAGTGTAATTGGTTCATATAAAATAGCAATATTATGTGTGACTGTTCTGCCAGGCCTTTATAGCACTAGAAGCATTTTTCCACAAATTGTAAAGTAATATAAAGCAAATACTTTATCGAACGCACTCAAATAGTTGATTTTTAGTGACATAACAATGTCCGCGTCAGCGTCGAATAATGGAAAATATATAGTTGTGGAGTATTTTCCCTCCGTGATAGCTTCATTTTACAAGCATTTCCAAGCTAAGCGAAAAATGGACACCATCGTATCTTTTATCGTTAATATACCCACGTTTCTACCTGGAGGTATTGGTAACACATTGCCACTAGACACGGAAGCCCGTTAAGCGAAGGCTTCTTATACTCCGTCCACAACCATTTGAACTTTTTTTAAACTCCGGATATAGATTGTTATTATTATTTGAAAACCTAACTACGTTTTTAATACTTGAATGCATGAGTCGATGTAATCTAGAACACCATTGAAAACCTGGAATCAGTGGACGGCTGTTTCACACTAATATGGTGGTATAGTTTGAATAGGCTCATAAATGTAGCTATTAAATTCACTGAAATTTCCAAAAAACCAATTTTCAACATAATTAAGTTTTTAACAACAATTGGGGGTTGAATGCTAACCTTCAGTCAAAGCGCAACACCTAATGGATAGCGGTTCAATGCTACCAGAATGTTTCCGATGTGAACAATGAGGGTCTCTGTCGATGGACAAAGAAAGTAGAGGTAGCTTTGACACCTGGAGTTCCAGAATGGTTTCTGGGGTTGAGTTTCGGTGCAAAGTAAAGGTTCCCACCATCCCTAACCTGCCGACATTAAATGAAATTTCGTCATCGACTTTTGAGGTATTGCTTTTGTTTTTGTTCGCTTGAAATGACTGTTGTTTCACTTGCTTACTTTTTACACAGTCTTAAAGGGTTTTTTAAAACTACTCCTCAGTGAGTCCTGTTTTGATACGTAATGGTAAATACTTTAGCTATATAACTACAGCTTTATTTACGACTGTCCATTCAGCTGTTATTAATTTCGTATGTAGTTTTTATACATATCGTTACTTGGAAAACGTTAAGGAGTTGTACTGATTGGTTCTAGCTTTAAATTTTGTTCAATCAGCTTGAAAATTTTAAAAGCAATATTAGGCATAGACGCAACAAGACTTGTTTATCCTTATCCCACAAAGCTCAGTCGAAAAACGCGTCTTTCAGTTTACCGATAACTTTCACATTCTAAATCTCTGTCCCAACCTCAGTAGCATCCTTGTCTAATAAGTTCGCTCTGTAGTATACGAGTTTATCTCGTCACTTCACTACAAATTGAGATATCTATCTATTGTCGAATACTTCTGTGAGAACTTGCTTCTTGGAAAGTTTCAGTTTGACTAAAAAAGGGAAAAAACCTATCTTAGACATTGCTTTATTGCTGATTAGTCGTTAACAATGATTTTGTTACATTGTCTCATATTTCCTGGGCATTACCTGCAACATTCGTGCAAATGGGATTACAAATATTTTGCAAAACATCTGTAACTTGTTGGAAATTCCTCTAAATATATTAGGTGATAGAAATAAATGCTTTTACACCATTGGCCAATTTATAACGTTCTGGACTGGATTTTCAGGAATTGATCTTCCAGGAGGTCCACTTATCGACTTAGAATGTAGAGATGACATAGTCCTGCATGGTGAAAACGCAATAAAATGCAGGGTCTTTTTATAGCACTCAGCAATAGCGAGAGGGTGTTTAGAATGCGCTTTTCTCCTTCTAGATGCAAATTATTGCTTCAGGACTGACCTACATCAACACCTGAACTAAAGATAGGGAGTGAAGTAGTTGAACGCGTCGACAACTTCACTTAACTTGCAAGTCCAACCAGCTCTAATGGGTTGGTGTTTGGCTCAATCTCTTCACGGATTCAAAATGCTCGTTTGGCTTCTGCCATTTTACGTCACATATGGCGATCCCGACCGTTGCTGCTACCTTGATGTGGTGGTCGGCCTTGCCTATCGTAATGAACCCTCAAATGCCCTGGTACGGTCGAGAGTGGGGCGAGTCCTCTCTCCCTCTCGAAATGCTCTCACATGGCCACGCATATATAGCCTCTGCCAGGGAAGTCCTACTCACTGCCTTCTCGTGGCGGGGGTGTTGTTAACAAAAATGAGAGGACGAAAAGCGAGTGTCCGGCGCTTTAACCGGATCTCAAACCAATGGTGCACATGGGTTCCAGTATCCTGAAGGAACAAATGGCGTATGAACCAATCGTTGGTCACCGGCTACCATGGGAATGCATCTCCTTACGATGCTCCACTGCCTTGTGGGTCAGACGTTCAGGTCGAAGGCTCGGGGTGTGGCCCCCTAAGAAAACCACCTGCTTCGGTTTGGGCACCCGAGCAGTATCACAACTCTCACACATATCTAATGAGATCTGTGTGGCGCATATGTATTTGGTGCCTCCTTGTACTGATATCTATGTGTTAAAATAAATAATAAAGTAATAAATCGTAATGAACCAATCGAGCTATGCTGGCTGGAACAATCGTTCCTCAAAGTCCTACCATGCCAGACAGGTCGATTGAAGAGCAGTAAGATTAAAAGCAGAAAACCCAATGTCCGAGAGCAGAGTCGTACTGCTGACTGTACAGAGCTATGACGGCAGTAAGCTGTTTCCTTCAGACAACCAGCATAACATCAGTGTTGCCTTCCCGCAAGGGAGGGTTGGATTAGAAGAGATTGATCCTGAGAATGCACACCCCACCTTATCCCACGAATGTCCGTCTCCGGCCGTAAGGTCCCAACAAGTACGAAGCTAATACTTAAGTTACTCATTAAAAGGTCGTGTGCGACCAACCTCTAGCACTTGTCTCTTGGGCACTGCGGTCACGCTCTCAGGTCACTAAGACCACCCCTAACCTAATTTCATTTTTAGGTACCTCCAGAAGAACTCTTCAACGGTGTGGGCAACCGGGAAGTGTCAAGTGCCCTCATACCTCTAACTGTCACCTCTGGCAATGGCGAGAAATACGTCTATCAACTAAAGGATGGGTATATTATGTGGCAGTTCGTTCTGTCCTAGTTTACGGCTTCGACACGTGGCCATTAAGAGTAGGGGATACTTGTAAGTTATTTGTATTTGATCACAGCTTTCTTATAAATATTACCAGCATCTCATGGTAAGTAATCGCGAGTTTAGACGCAGGGTATTATGGAATGATTTTAAATCAGTTGATGAGGTTGTGAACCTTCATTGACTGCGATAGTTGCGCCACGTGTTACGTATGCCTGGACACCGATTACCAAGGGCTCGGGGTGTGGCCCCCTAAGGAAACCACCTGCTTCTGTCTGGGTACCCGGGCATTATCACAACCCACACACAAATATGATGAAATGTTGATATTTATGGAAGATACTTTCCTTGATTCGATTAACAATCAAACGATTCACACTATTATTATTATTATTATTATTATTATTATTATTATTATTATTTACCACGTCATTTATTCACTCTCTTTTATTCCCACTCTGTGTATCTTTATTTTTCGATTCTATCTAAATGTTCTCGAGTCACTGTCTGGTTGGAAATAGTATGCTACCACCGAATACGAATACTGAAACAGTTTTTCTGAAACCACGTGCACCATTCAAACTGGCTGCCTTCAACGTTCGCACACTTATGCAGGTCGGAAAACAGACAGGTCTGGCTATGTCTTTGGAAAGTCTTGATATCGACGTTTGTTGTCTACTCGAGACCCATATTCAAGACTTTGGTGAAGTACTACAAATTCGCTCTCCATCTGTCGCTTCAAAAAGCTTGTTTAACGTGCGTTTATCCGGGAACCCTGTGTCATCTTCGTCCGGTCTTGCTGGCGTTGGTGTCGCACTAAGCGCTAGAGCTGAGGCAGCACTAATCGATTGGATCCCCATTAACAGTCGGTTATGTGCTGTTAGACTAGAAAGTTCCATCAAAGCCTGAACTCAAATTGATCACATCGCGATCAGCTACCGCTGGCGTGGTTGTGTACAAGACTGTCGCTCCTTTTGGAGTACCTATCTGGAATCTGATCATGCCCTGATCTGCGCCAATCCTACCTTACTTTTCAGTGGCCAACGAAGTGACCGCCACCAAAGGATTGATGTCAGCAAGTTGGTTGCAACTTCTGTTACTAGTGCCCCCAAATGCCCTGGTACGGCCGAGAGTGGGGAGAGTCCGCTCTCCCTCTCGAAATGCTCTCACATGGCCACGCATATATAGCCTCTGCCAGGGAAGTCCTACTCACTGCCTTCTCGTGGCGGGGGTGTTGTTAACAAAAATGAGAGGACGAAAAGCGAGTGTCCGGCGCTTTAACCGGATCTCAAACCAATGGTGCACATGGGCTCCAGTATCCTGAAGGAACAAATGGCGTATGAACCAATCGTTGGTCACCGGCTACCATGGGTCTGCATCTCCTCACGATGCTCCACTGCCTTGTGGGTCAGACGTCCAGGTCGAAGGCTCGGGGTGTGGCCCCCTAAGGAAACCACCTGCTTCGGTTTGGGCACCCGAGCAGTATCACAGCCTTCACACAAATCAAATGAGATTCGTGTGGCGCATATGTATTTGGTGCCTCCCTGTACCTATACTTATGTGTTAAAATAAATAAAAATAAATAATCTGTTACTAGTATGTATCGAACTGAGCTAGCTTCTAGGCTAGCTACCATTACACCGAAAAGTATAGATGAGCATTGGTTGCAACTTCACGGCGCCGCTTGCGGCTGCGCGAAACGTCCCGCTTGTAAGCGCTAGGTTTCTTCTGGTTCCTTACAACTGATTGAAGCCCGTCGGTCTACGGGTGACGGGAGTTTGACCACAAACGAAGGACGTTACGTAACGAAATTGAACAAAGCTTACGTAAGGACCGATAAGCCTGGTGGTCGGATCGTTCTACTGGCCTGCTGCTCCGGCAATATCCGTCTGGCTGTCCTGCGCTCTATGGCTGGTGACGACTGATCCACCAAATGAAGCGGAAGTCTGCAAGGAGCTCTTGGAACACTAAATCACCGGGCCCAGATGACTTACCTCTGGCTCTTTCTAAAGAGGGTGGTGACTTTATGGCTAAGGAACTGACTGTCTTGTTTACAAGGGTCTGGGAACTAGAGAGTGTACCAACGTCATGGAATGAGTCGATAGTTGTCCCTATCTTTAAAAAGGGTTCACGTCGTTCCTGTAACAACTATCGGGGGATAAGTCTACTTCCGATTGCGTCCAAGCTATTGACTTCTTCATACTTCGTAAGTTGTTCAAAACCCGAGAACGATTGACTCGCGGGGAGAAGGCTGGGTTTCGTTCTGGTCGAGGATGTATTGATCATATCTTCACCCTCCGCCAAATGTTAGGACACCGCCATACTTATCAAAGGCCAACAATCGTAATGTTTCTTGACATCAGTGCTGCCTTCGATTCGTTGAATAGGACTGTTCTCTGGGATGGTCTGTTGAAAAAGGGTGTGCCTGAGAAGTTGATTAACATCCTAAAGACGCTATATACAAACACCTCAGGCAGAGTGAAGGCATACAACCACCTTTCTCCATTGTTCCATTCGAGCAGTGGGGTTAGGCAGGGTTGCCCAATCTCACTATTCCTCTTCAACTTTGCAATCGATGACATTCTGGAAACAGCTCTGATATATGTAAGTAGTGGCGGTGTGGATCTGTTGCCTAGAGAAAACTTCGATTTTGAGTAATCGAATGATATTTTCCTACTGTGCGAGAATGCCCAAGTCATGCAATCCATACTTAACCATTTGGCAATCAGTGTCCGTAGGTACGGTATGTGCTTTTCATCTTTGAAGTGCAAAGTACTTCTACAAGATTGGCAGGATTCTAATCCTGTACTCACTCTGGATGGTGAGCAGATAAAAGTAGTCGAGAAGTTCGTGTATCTAGGTAGCTGCATGAGTGCTGGTGGTGGTGTGAGTGATGAGATCAATGCTCGTATAGTGAAAGCCAGAGCGGCTTATGCCAATCTGGGTCATCGTTGGCGCCTTCGTGATGTTAGTCTGGCTGTAAAAGGTCGAATCTACAACGCGTCGGTGGGAGCAGTTTTGCTCTATGCTTGTGAAACCTGGCCTCTCCGAGTTGAGGATGTTAGACGACTCTTTGTGTTCGATCATCGCTGTCTCCGAAGGATTGCTGACATTCAGTGGCAACACCATGTCAGTAATGCAGAGGTTCGGCATCGAGTGTTCGGTCACAGAGACGATAATTCCATTGGTGTCACCATCTTGAAACACCGACTTCGGTGGCTTGGACATGTTCTACGAATGTCGTCCCAGAGAATTCCTCGTCGTGCATTGTTTGCCGACTCTGGGACTGGTTGGGGAAAGCAGAGAGGTGGTCAGTATATGACATGGTGTCGTGGTATGAAAGAAAGCTGCAAAGGGCTAGCTTCTGTTGGTCCTTCATGACTCCCTGGCTGGGGTCCGAGAGACGGTGTAACGCAGTGGCTAGAGACGTTATCAGATATGGCTCAGAATAGAAGCCAATGGCGATCCTGCTGTCACCTTTTTTTACTTTCTTCATAAAAAGTGGTTGTATCTTCCTTAACTGGAAGATTTCTTCTGGTTGTACCTTTCCGTTTCCTCTATTATTATTACTATTATTATTATTATCATTATTACACTACTTTACACTAATCTGTTCGTTATTGTTCCTTTTTTTACTCTCCTTATCTTCTTTTTTTTCTTTTCAAATTCTCATTGTTTTATGTGGTTCATATACATTTGATGCCCTCTTGTACCAATATTTGTGTTCAAATAAATAATAATAAATAAAATGACAGCACTAAAACTACACATGCTAGCAAACTACGTCTTTCTGACTCGATTTTTAGATTTATGTTGACGGAATATTTGGTTAAAATTGAGTAACTGACTTTTAATCAAATCAGAAAGAGTTCAGCAACTTCACGTTAACCCCGGCTTACAAGCATCTAGCTGTACGATAAGAATAATCCGAAAGCAAAATCATCATACTAGTGTGAACGTGACGAGAAACAAGCACGGTGTAATGGGGTGTTATGAGGCGAATAGCATGAGTTTATCCATCAAGATGGTCAATTTTGGACCTTTTACGAGAGGTTTTCAATTATTATTCTATGTTATTCGCTTCAATCGGTCAAGTTCTATCTTTTTTACTGTTCGAGTCAACCAGCTTCAATGTTAGAGTTACTCAGTATCGTCCGGGAATATTTGTTTAGGCAATTGAGAAACAACCATTTCTAACCAGAAGATTGCAAACTGTAAATGCTTTTATATTTTTACTCGCGCCCCAGTAACCGCCTGTAGCGATTTTTTTGTCTTTTCACCAAAATGCCTTTATATATTTGACTTTTCTAATTCTTCATCACTTATGTGTATCATGACTATTCAGGTAATTATGAACTAACATCCTCAGTTCATTTTTACGTTGACAGGGACCATAAAACCCTAACCTAATCAAAAAACAAATTGGTAGGGTCTGCAAGCAACCAATACTCATTCTAAAAGGAACAGTTGTTGTAACACTATTGGAAGTTTTCGTTGTCTACCGAAATCCGGTATAATTCGAATTGATGGAGTTTGGGTTGTGTCTCGCCAGCTAATTTATTCAACCTTCGAATAGTCAGTGTGGAACTCTTTCCTTTTACTGCGGCTCGACCAATCAAATGGTTTTTATTGATAATCATTGTTTTTAAAATCATGTCATGTAAGGAAGCCACTCATATTTGTTATTTTAGATCAGTTAAGTATCCAAAGACTAGTAAAACCAAGTAGGTCGTAATATCATTCTTCTAATTCTATCTCTTGTCTAAAATTTGTGTAATTGTACTATTTTGTGATTAACACTTATTGTTATTTTTGACCTAATTTTTTAATCGCATCCTAACGTTTTTGTTGCATTTTACTTGTAGTATGACTTTTTACACGAAAAGCAAGTTATTGCTGATTATGATGAGTATTTCAACGCGAAGAAAAATTTAAACGAAACACTTTCCACATCATTGTGTGCAATTCCACAAGGTCAATCAAATCCATTACAGGAAAGCAATAAACAGGGCATCGAATTGCCACGCAGTTTTCATTTCTCTGATCCCCAGTCACGTTCTTCATATAATTCGTGTCCAGCTTCGGTTATTGGAACACCTCCACCTGCTGCTAGTCATCTTGTTTCCGGGAAAATTTTGGAACCTAGCATAATAGATAGTGGAGCTTCTAGCCAACTGTGTAAATCAGAGCAGATGAAGATTTCGAATAATAACCCTGAATGTTCTAGTTCAGAGTTAATTCATATGAAACCGGACTCTTCTACAATTTCCACAATTTGCACATACTTAAAAGATTTTGATATCCAACCTGACGACCCATTCACTATGACTGAACTTAAAACAATAAATGAACTTGAGGAACTTAAGGAAATTTTAATGCATGACTCCATTTCTAGTTCCTGTCAACCACAACCTTATCATTCGACAACTAATGATATAATAAGTAATGATAGTGAAGGTTCATCTGTCACCAACTGTTCGAATACTCACTCCGTAAATTCAGAAAAATTGAGTTATTCTCCTTTTTCTAGTTCAGAAAACAAACACCAAACTTGCAAATTTCCAGAAACAACTAATTCATTTCAAAACAATTCTTGTTTCATAAGTAATCATATAAGTGATCATCAAGTTCAAAGACGTGCACAAGATGTAGCTATCTCAAATGGCCTTCATAATTCATCTGGATTTGGTAATGCACCTACAAGATTTATAAAATTGTCTAAGCCATTTGTAAATTCCTGTGTTCCATATAGCATAAAGGTAAGCATCCCACTTTGTCTATGGTTTTTCTAGTGATCTAACTTCACTTGTAAAGTCAAACCAACCACATGTAAATGTATTTAGGTGTGAACCGTACATATTGTGTGACTTGTAACGATAATACCTGACTGCAAAAATTTCGGTATACGTAATCTGAAACGAAGAGTTTTAAGAACACAAAATATCTTTTCCATGGTTGCTGTAAATTTATAAGCACTCATTACCAAAGCACTAGTAAATTCTCCTTTACTAATCTCGGCATGTTTTAGTTAGTTCATATATTAGTGGCGCAGTATGCGGGATTAAAGTGAAAGTAAACAGACATCTCATACCAACTCCGAATGTTTTGGTAAGGCTTTACATAGTGTTAATTGTTTAGGTGAGAGACCGGGAGAATCTTTTCGTTGATATTCGTGCGTTTACCTACAATCGCACGGGTAGCCATGCTTTAGGATTTTGCTCCTAATCAGGAAGTTACCACTGTGGTATTTAGATCTTAACATATATCCTGTAGTTGTATACAGAAATAATTTACCAAATAGTAACCATGATATTGCTAAAAGCTTTCGTTCTTATTCAGTACTGTCAATAAAAAGAATTAAAACTTAAATTTGAAATCAATGGTATTTGAGATCTGAGTACACAAACCCGTGCTTGGTAAATGTTAGGTCCCGAAAAGCATAATGAATGGTAACTTTTGGGATCCATTTATGGGCCAATACTAAACGTTTATTGTTATCGTATAATTGTTAAATAACTAGCCTATTCATATTCCTCTTATTATAAGCTTTGTTTTGACCTATGAACCATTATTATACGATTTACCTTTCTTGAATTATGTCCTGTCAATTTGTCACTGCCTCCCACATTCACAGTTACATTTGGCCAAATTTTGTACAAATGTTATTTTCTATTTTATGGTACGTTGTGGTTTGTTTGATTGGTTTATAAACCCTGTATGCTTGAAATAAATGATTCATATTGCAGAGGCTGAGATTTGTGTTGTGGACTTAATTGGCTGGGCTAAGCGGAAAACAGGGCCCATCAGGACTCGGGGTGCTCGTACGGGTTTACGCATCATTGATCCAATCGATAAGTCATTGCTCCCTAATTGGCGGTCATAAGTTATAACAGCAAATAAGCTGCATTCATTGATTGTATATAACAAACTATGTAAAACAAATTTTATGTATACATAAAGCGAGATTAAGGAGATATTGGGCGAAGATAAAGTGGTAAAAATAGTTGAATGATTGTGTCATTAGTTGTCGACGTGATAAATAACTACCTCTTTCCTGTATCTTAATTGATATTCATCGTATATTCTACCAGCATTCGTCTGAGAAAATCTATCACATCACCTTACTAGAACCCTAAGTATAACCATATGATCATATCTATTCCTTAATAGCCTTTCAGTGTTAATATAACTTCATTATGTCATTGACTGGTTTCAGATACTTCGATTGACATTTTCGGAATACGTGACCCAAGACATTTCCCGTTCTTCCAGGCAACCTAAAATTTCTGTTTTAGGCGTTTTGCTACAAGCCATATAGCTGGTATCAGACATGCAAACTTGATAGCGACCGAATGTTTGGAATGTTTAGCAACAGAAGGTAGTGTAGTTTTGGGTCTTGATTTTTTTGCTGCCTGAAGACATTCGCATGTGCCTCGATAAATTGGAAATCAGGTAGCTTTTGCTGTGGATATAGAAGTTTTATTCAACTCCCGTTAACGTACAGTGCCAATGTAATTTACGCAATGATTCCCTTTCTGCGAGTCCAGCATTTGTATGTCATAAGGTTTGACGAATATCGAACAAGTCATTTATGTTTGTTGAAGAAAATTTGTTGACTGCTCTTCACGACTGTACTAACTCCTTCAAACTAGTAAATTAATTCATACTTTCAACCACCTTACTCTTAGTTCATTAATCTGTTAACCATTTATGCCACATTATACTTAAGAGAAGTACAAGACTTGTACTAAACATTTTCAGATTTTTGTTCAGTAGTTGTGCTTTAGTTCGATTTCTTAGCGAAATACACTTATTTTGTCTAAAAACCTTCCTCACACATTCCAACCATTGCCCGACTAAGAATTTCAATGAACATTTTTGCTTATTTAACTACTTAATCACTTCTAATTAAATATCGGTACCCTCTCATTTCTCTCTACATTCAGTTTCGTTCATATATATGTACTTCATGCTTTTCCTCATAGATAGTCGGTGAGCAAATATGTTGCCAACATGTTTTGTGAATAAGCATAATTTTAGGCTAGACTAAATAGTATTGGTCTACTAAGTAAACGTATTCCTTTCTGTTTTTATTTATTCTTTCGAATGAATATCGAGCATATTTTTAGAATGATGTCTTATGATAAGTAATCAGTCACCTCCAACTGTGCATACTAGCTTAATAAAACAGATATAATTGACATACAGTTTATCTTTAGGTCACGATTTACACAAAGCATCATAATGAATTACTAATGTATTAATTTTTAAGATCTGACGTTGTAATTTCAAGAAAATTTAATATACCATCTATTCTTGTAAACAACTTCTAAGTACTATATACAATTCCTTTGATATATTGTAGCTCTAGATGTTGTTTATGTGCTATGTAATGGAAGTGGAGATCATATCGTGGAATAAGTTACACTGTTACTAATTGCTTTGAGTATGACGATGCCATTCATCGACATCAAACCACTAGGTTTACGTATCAGCTTGTTGCTCATAACACCAAGATATATATATATATATATATATATATATATATATATATATATAAAAGCCCCCAAATGCCCTGGTACGGTCGAGAGTGGGGCGAGTCCTCTCTCCCTCTCGAAATGCTCTCACATGGCCACGCATATATAGCCTCTGCCAGGGAAGTCCTACTCACTGCCTTCTCGTGGCAGGGGTGTTGTTTACAAAAATGAGAGGACGAAAAGCGAGTGTCCGGCGCTTTAACCGGATCTCAAACCAATGGTGCACATGGGCTCCAGTATCCTGCGGGAACAAATGGCGTATGAACCAATCGTTGGTCACCGGCTACCATGGGTCTGCATCTCCTTACGATGCTCCACTGCCTTGTGGATCAGATCTTCAGGTCAAAGGCTCGGGGTGTGGCCCCCTAAGGAAACCACCTGCTTCGGTTTGGGCACCCGGGCAGTATCACAGCCCTCACACAAATCAATTGAGATTTGTGTCGCGCATATGTATTTGGTGCCTCCCTGTACCTATACTTATGTGTTAAAAATAAATAAAAATTATATATATATATATATATATATATATATATATATATATATATATAAACAAGTGTTTTTCCATGATTAATTTTAGTCGATTGCCTTCACCAATCAACCTCAAGCCTTCGGTGGTGTCGCTGAACAAAACAGTCTTATAAACACTGAAAAATCTCAGGACGTATTTCAAATCTCTACTATTGGTATGAGAACACCTGATCCACATCATTCCCAGATAAAGCTTTTAGAAAGTTTGTTGTCATGGGCAACAAATTGTGGTTTTTCTCATTCTCATGCTCGTCGTCTTTTAGAATTAGGAGTACAGAAAAGAGGTAATTCATGATGTCAGTTTTTTTAAAAAAAAAGAATATATAACTGGTTTGATTTATCTTATTTCATCTCTAGTTAGATTTAATGTTTATGTGACCTAAGTATTATAATTCACTGAATAATTATCATATACATATTTTCCACACATATAGTAGCTTATATGTTTATTTATTGTGTTATGATTTGATTTTTTTTATCTAGCATCTGCTCACTTAAAGTAAAATTAATGAGGTTCATTTCATATCCTGTAAACATTATTGTTTTTGGTGTTTAAGTGAGTGTAATAAGTGTATAGAAATTTTGCTATAATATCAATTGAATAGTTTATTATTTCAAATTTTACTTGACTTATGTCTTTTCAACTTATATTTCGTCTCAACTACTATGATTAATATTGATATAGAATAGATAGAATGTGGCTAGCAGTGGAATCCAAGAAGTGCGTTTCATCGCATTTAGATATCGTTGACGTAGTTTATGTGCATCTCGATGGGATGATCCAAAGAGCATACTCGTTGCACGATTGAATGGCTCTTTGGACTCAGTAGCCAAGTAAATAATGCAACAGCGTTTGAAACAAACGGTACTGGGTTCGAGTCCCGGAATGGTCATCAACTCTGTCATCTAGGTACATCTAGCTGACAAGTCCCAAACAGAGCGAAACGCGCGTCCTGGATTCCACTGCCAGCTACATCCCATTTATTCTATATCAAATTATATCATGATGGTTACTTCGAGGCAACCCGCATAGGACACTCATACGCCAATCAGGACTGATCAAATATCAGTCGAAAATATAAACATCCGGATAGTCCAGACCAAATTGAATTAATGGCTAATATTTGTAATTTTAATGTGAATGTCTACTTTGTTCCGTTCTAAGGGCTGTAATTTGGTTGGTAGGGGTTTCACTATCAATCTGCCTCTCCCTTAACTAGTTAATCTTTATGAGTAGTGTATTGACTTACTTTGACAGTGCACATATGACACGTTTCAGTAAATTCTCATGATATGTGCTGTTTAGCTCATCAGCAATTTGTTATTACTTGACAGACCGTCTGTATCATTCCATACGTTAAGTGCGAAATCTACCTTAATGTGTAACACTAATAGTAACTGGGTTGTCAGACGTCATTCCTAAGATTTCAAAGCGATGCTTCATAAAAGTAACCAGCCTGTTGTTTGTGTTGAACTCTTTAGATTTGTCTTAGCATAGTTTGTTTTCCAAGCAGACATGGTAGTTAGGTAAACCTGCACAAGTCTGTAGCCACGCACATCATCACATGCTAAAGTGGTTAGTCCTAACTTTCGGACGAAGAACTTATTCTAATTATTCCGATTATCATGTCACGTATATTTGGGCTCTTCACTTACAAGTAATGTTGATTATTTTTTCAAATTTACGTGCTCATCATAGTATTTGTGATTTTATTTGCTTCTCAAATTTCTTTTGTGCTTATTAAAATGGAACTACCTTATTATTCGTATGACCGATCTATTACTAAGCTCCAAATCTCTACGTTCGCTGGATCTTTCAGTGAATGTCTACCATTCAATATTAGCATGTCCAAAATATACGTTAACATGAATACAATTAATGTTCTACTTTTGTTATCCACGTTATATCAAAGTGATTTATCAACAGAATCTAGATGTAGTAAATAGGATATACATTTCGTTAGCGTCGATATCGTTTAATCGTACTGGATTCAGACGAGCACTGAACGCTTCAAAGTCGATACTCGAAAGGCTGAATTCATTAAGCATTTAGCAACTTTCGAATATCAATACATTACAATTAGTTATAGTGTCTTTAGGTCCTGATAATGCTTATTTTGTCAAATGTTTTTAATGTATCGTTATTTTATGGAGCTTGAATGAATCTTATTTGATCACTGAATTTTCATATCAGTTCATTTATGGGTCTTTTAGGTTCAGTTCATTTGTTTTGTTCAATAACAATTCTTATAAGAATATTGTTGTATCCATGGATTTTTGTCAATTGGATAAAACGTCGTGTTTAAATTAGGCCAATATCGAATTTTCACAGTATATGGGAATGGTATGTAATTGCAGCTTCACTGAAGCACTCTAAGTAAAAATATCGATAAACTTGTATTAAACAAGTCTGAATTATACTGATCCGTTGAAATATAACTGGACAAATTCAAATTAATTTTATACTACTGACGATAATCTTCAACAGGCTTCAAAATTTCCCAGAGCATCTTATTTTTAATATCTTTAACCAAAAAACCTAACAGTTTTCGTACCCACCTGACGCACAAATTAATACAGTGACAAGTCATACAAGTTCATCTTGATCAAGAATAAATTGACATTGATATTTCCAAACCTATTATAATTTTGAATATACTAAAAATATTCTGTATTGTTTCCTTTGTATTATTTAAACTTATTAATTTGGGTCAGTTATTTATTAACTCTGAAGAAGTTACTTACATTAAGTCATGATACGTTAGAAATACAATTTTTCTACTCATTGGGATATGACAAATAATATATTTATTGCTAACTTTTTAAAAGAAATCGGAAAAATTTCATACGTGAACAAAGCAGAAATCTACTTAAAAGTTGTTCCATTGATTTTATCTTTGTTACTTTAAACACTACATTGTACTATATATGGTGCTAATTGGTTTAAATTTGTGAATCAATCTTGAGTACTGTAGAACCCATCTTATGTATGTATCAGTCCATGTTGCCACATCATATTGGTACCTACGGTTAAAGATTGTATTTTGGGAAGTTTTTTTGTCAACCTAATGTGGATAAATACACATCGGTTTTTTTTTCATTTTAGCCTTTACATGTCAAAATCTTGAACAGAACAAATTAATCTTATTAAATCTTCTTCATACCTTCAACTCACTATTGACAACTTTCTCAACTAATCAAAATTCTCATAAGCTTAGTGAACAATCAGCTCTTTTGATTACAGTCACTCATCCTAATAATCTATTCAAGGTGAGAATTATTTAAAATTTTAACATAAAAATTATTGGGTCCATGAATCGCGGGAAATTAAAATGTATCATAGACCAGTGATTTGTGTGAAACGCAAAATTAAAATATAGTCTAAACGTTTCCGTAACATTTGATTTGTTCTTAAATTAAGAAAAGTATTGTTTCACACTGTCCGGTCAATAAATATGCAAACTTAGCTACCTATGAACGATTGTCGACCCTTCATGCTACTGAAAGCATTGAAGGTGTTTGATTTCTTGAACATCTTGCTCACCAGATGATTGTTAAAGATGACTGAATATCACCTGTGCGCACAATTCTAACGAAACACTGGGAGTTGAGAAAGTTGTATTCCAGAGCCATCTCAAGGTTACTGAACTTAACTACAAGTTGAGTTGAACCGAACGTCGCCTCAAAAAGATATGTTCTGTTCAAACTATAGTTGTTCTTATAACGATTTATGATTCTGTAAATTTAACCTTAAGCTTTGACATCTAAGGGCTTCCAAATATGTTTTGAATAGTGGAAACAAAGACGGTGCAAACATAGTACCACAGATGTATAGTATCTTAAAGTGAATAAGATTAATGTACTGTAGATTTTTCGTAAAATATTCTTAGGAAAGCTCGCCTATTTATTTGTCAAGAAAGTTGCTTCATTACAAAGAAATTATTAAAGTTATGGAGTTTAGGAAAATAAAAATCTAGGTAAACTATCTGAATCGTAATTGTGGTATTGAGAGGAAAGCAAAGTTGCAAGTCATATCGCCCATGTAAAGGTCAATTGCTGATTATCTGAAAGTGCAATAAGTGATATTTTTCAAGTTTATGTCGTTTTTTTTCTCAGCTAAAATCACGGGTTGATCTGAGCTGGACCACCACTGAGAATCTAGAAGCACTATACTGCTGTTTCGTCCTAGTGTTGGACTCCTCAACTATGAAAATACTACAATCTTCACAAGTCCTTCATACTTATATCGTTTTTGTTTTGTTTGAATGTGCAAATTAAAAGCAAATCTGCTTGTTTACTGTTTAGCTTTAGCTGTCTAAGTTTTCGTTTTCATCAATTTAACCACACTGATAGTCAATTAAAAGTTTATAAGACCAGAAATATAACATATTATTAGAACTTATATTATTGACTAATATCATGGAAGGAATCATTTCGCTAAATTTACGGACGTACCAAGAGAATAGGGAGTTTAATTTGGGATATTAGAATTTTTGTCAATTTAATCTTACTAGTGCACATTATATTAAATGAATTGAGTAACAGTTTCAGAATGTTCAAAGCACTTTTCACATAGTACATAATTGGTTCGAATTTTTACTCAATATTGTCGTAGGAGGTGATGTAATTGGTGAAATAAAAAATGTTACTAGATAGTGTTAAACATCAGCTGTAATGATAGATATAACTCAAGATAGTAGTTGCTTTTGAATGTTATAGGCTTTTATAGATAGGTTTCATTAGGAATGCTGTTTTCTTGTGGGACTTATTTTTTCTTTGACGGAACTCATGTCTGGATTCCTAGTTTGTAGCTTTCTCGATTTGTTGAACTTTGTTTAAGTATGTAACTGGGATCTAATCCCAATTGCGTTTTTGAGTACTATTATCACAAAAGAAAAAAAGTTATATCCCACCTTTCTATCGCTTTGATTCAAATTAACCGAGAAGTGTGAATAAAAATGTCTTTTTTATCTTCAATAAAATCAAGTTACCCTGTGATTCAAAGTAACAGTTTCATATCGTAAGGCTAGACATTTTAATTTTTACTAGACAATCGTTTTAGCCTGGTACATGTCCTTTCGGGGATATTTTAATTTGTCGTAATTGGTCCAAAAGACCTTAGCTTTTATGGCGAACGTAATTAACATAAACCATCAATTCTTGCTCCTATAATTGATTCGTCTCATGATGACAGCGTGATTGATTTTTGTCGTAAAATTTACCGTTTCGATAGCACGTGATGGTGACATTTTTTAATTATACCCATTAAATCCACTAACATATAAAGTCAGTAGATAAAATCTTAGTTTTAAAAGATATATTGATGGAACAACTTTTTCATTACATAACATTTTTCAAGGACTCAGTGTGTAAAATGAAATTCAACAGCAGTTAAGTGATATAATATAGAATTCCGTCATTACACGATTCAGGTTTTCTTGGCTGCCCCAAAGGTAACGGTCGACTATTTATTATCCTTATGGGCTCCGATCTTGATATTACACAGATGTAACCATCATTTCTCACCAGTGATTTTTTTATAATTGCTCAATAGTTAGCATTAATTGTCCCTCATTATACTCATATTTCTACCTAGAATCTCTGGAGGAAGCAACCGCAATGGCTCAGTTGTAACCTCTTTCATTGCAATACAGCACTAAGGTTTGGATTTCTGAGACATTATCACTTCCCTCACGATCACAGATGTGCTTTACTGATGAGTGCGAAATACATATCCAGGGTTTTCTATGTATTGATTTCACGACAGAAAGTGATTATTATCAGCTTGAAACTACAAGGAATAAAACATTGGTGGAGCTTCGTTCTCTAAGCTGAATGGTTCATTCGTGAAGCGTTCACTGTTTTTCTACACAATATTATCAGTACAAACTTCAGACAGAAGTAAAGTATTCAAATTTCTCCATCTATGGCTGATAGCTTGTTCTTCAACCTTGATCCTGAGTAGTTATTTTTAACCATTAATATGTCTTCATATTTATTTTGACTGTATAGACTTGGAAAATAAGTCATTTCTATCTAGAGGATAATTTCATGTTGTTTCTTATTTGTACTATATGTTTAAAAACATTTGTCGGAAGTGCAGGTTTAAAATCTGACAGCTTTCTGATTAAAACTTAGATTCGGTGATGTATATATTTCATATATTCCTACCTATTTCGCATGGTTTGATCCATAGCTGTTCTAGTAATGATCGCATCGTTTAACTATGGACCAGGCTCATAGCCTAGTATATTCATCTCCATTTAATTTCAAAAGCATTTTTAAATTGCTACATCGTACCTGCATAAAATAATTATGTCTTTATACTTCTTATTTACTCTAGGCACAACAACTGGCCCGTTTAGTTATTTATCTAGAACAGAGAGGATTCTCACAAGATATAGTCTCTCGCTATATACAAAATCCTCATTCCATGGAAAACGAAGAAGTGACCAAACTTATCAACGATTTAACGACACTTACCAGTACTGTTCATCAAGTCAATCCTATAAATTTTCCATCATCAAAATCACTTAGCATGAAATCCCCAGAAAAATGATTGAGAAGACTATGGAAAGCATTCTTTCATTTTCTGATGTTCATTGTTTTCAATGGAATTTTTCTAATATCAATCGTATACTTTACTACTAAAGCTGTGATCATTAAAGCTTTTCAGATTATTTAACAGCTAAACATTTCGTTTTCTTCCATATAATATTTGTACTACTTTCGTATTATATTCCCATTATGTTTGTAGATTATAAATAGTAATGATGATATAAGAACGACTCGTGTCAATCAATTCTTTTTATCAGTTTGTCTTTGCCTTTTCTCAGGTTTGTATCGAGTTCACAGTAATCAAAACTATGAGGCTCTATGTGTTCACTCATTTTCTCGATTACATATATGAAATCTTTTGTAATTAACTCACAACTAACTACCAGCTGGGAGTTGTTTGATATTTTCTTTTAAGAATTATTATATGTATACATATATAAGGTATATGTAATTTCTATTTTTAAATAATTCACAGATGTTTATTTTCAAGAATAAACTTATTCAAATATTTCCTAAACTATCCTTCCTCAACGAATTTCATAGACGCATTTTTCGTTTGTTTCTGTGAAGCATTTACTGTACTGACATGTAGACAGCATTAGATTTCATACTCGTCTTGAATTGACAATTATTTAGTCTTAGTATATTGGATTTGCGGCGATTGTAAAAGTTTTACAGTTTAATGTACTACTAGGGAGTCGTATACTATGATGAAACGGCCTTCCAGGTTTACAATAGTTGTCTAAGATCAGTTCATGATTTAAAACGTGAAAATTATTTATTTCTCAGAGCTTTTGATCATGTTTCCAGAACTGAGTGGAAGGTATAAATGTAATTTTCGTTGTCTACCGGAATTCGACACTGACATAATGTTAAATCCTGATAAAAACTATTACGTCTATTGAAGTTCCCAGTTGGCTTCCTATACTTGTGAATGAAGGATTGACTAAACGATTATAGTATTAACAGTTCTGTTCCTGGCACACAGTTCGAAAATTAACCGCTAAATCAAATGTACGAAAAACTTGATATCCATCCAAATTTACTTGGAATATTACAAGTCATTGCACATAGTAACGAAGGCATGACCTTCAGGCATACAAAAAATAAATTAACTGACTGTAGTAGCAGCCAATCAAGAGACGACAAAAGTCATGCGAAAAATCGGATTGCAAAAGGAACACGTGTTTATTGTTATTAGTGAAGATTCACCATTATTTGCAAAGGCTGAGTAGTTTTGTAATCGCCTAAGCACATGTTTGTCCTCGATTCCTGTCTTAATTCTTTTTAGGATGGGTGTCTAGCTAAGATTTCCTGCGTCACTAATTGAAAAGAGCTGCGAAAATCCTTCGGCAATTCTGAAATGTCCTCCTCCTATTAAAGTTATCGTGATAATTAAAAGCGAATAAAACCGTAGGTATTTTTACTCGTGTTGTGCCTTCTACAATACAAAGAACTAGTTCTTGACTGGATCAACTAAAATACCGGATGACTTCTTTCTCTGCTTAAGTTAATATGATGTTATGGATTCCGAAATACATGAAATCAGTGATTTGCCGATGAGATATCGATTTCGGACGTAGATCTGAATGTCACAAAAGAGAATAGTTGTGCGACTAACGATAATTTGAGGACTTGCATTCACTATTCTTTCCTTCTTAGGGCCATTTTAACGCATACTAGTCACCACTAGCTCCAATCATTACTCCTCTTGACAATGTCACAGTGTTCATCTGTTCACCTTTGTAGACATTTTTTCAATAAGTATCAGTAATCAAGTCTTCTCATGGAATCTCCTATAAACATTTGGTAATGAATATTTTGCAAGGAAAACATTAATTAGCATCAATTATGTTTATTTAAATTACCGAACTGTTTAACCAAATCAGTATAACAATCAATGAAGGCAACCATGAACAGTATTTCGTCTTCTGAACTTTACAATTTCTTATTCTTCATTATTAATATTTTCAAATGAGATACTTTTACCTGCTGATTTTAATAAATTTAAAATTAGAAATGATTCACTTTCATCCGTATTGTTCATAATGGTGTCAGGAGATATATCTCTTGTAATTTTTCTAGGTATCTGAAAACTGTAATAAGCATCTGTTAGTTGTTTAGTTTTCAATTTAGATTTGTTCTCATCGATTTTTTTATTGTCATCGGCCCTTTCACCAGAGGGTGTCGATGTAGCTAGTGGTTTGTAAATGTCGTTTTTCGTAGATGATCGTATCGGCAGTTGTTCAGTGATGAAGTTACTCGTAATAATCGATTCATCATGAGTGTTTATTTCCTCTGTTGGTGGAGTCTTACGTTTAAACTGATAAAACCAAAACGAAACAAAAAGTAGAATAACGGTCAGCAAATAATTATTTGATGGACGAATAAGGATATATCTTAAGAATTGTCTTCAAATAATGATCAACATATACTTTTAATTGTTTGAAAAAATCTAGATGAACGGTGCTCTTGAGGCACATGAGAGATACACTTCGTTAAACATTCGTATCAGTCTAGTAGAGGTACATCTAGCTATCGAATCATATATGGGAAGAATTACATATACCGATGTGTATTGCTAGTCACTAACAGACACAACAGAATATAGTCAACTGCAATGTGAACACATTTGAACTAAAAATAAATGTTTCACAAACGATTATTTGTGTTCCAGCTTGAAACGAAACTGGAATATATTATTATTAGAATATTCTTTAATAAAACATTTCGATCGAGGAATAAGAAGATGGAATTGATCTGAAAAATGTGATGTATTCATGTTATACATTTCGAACAATCTGTTCACGCATACTTATCAGGACACTTTATATAAAGGTCAATTAAATGAAAGTTTAAGTAAGCAAGGTAATAAAGGAGAAATTCAATGTTCATATAAAATGCCCTGACTAGTATGTGTATGCCCAGATTGTTCGAACTGTATAGCGTAAATACATCACATTTTTCAGATCAACTCTATCTTCTCATCGCTCTATCGAAATTTAAAAAAGTGACTAATTGCTTTAATAAAATATTGTCTGCTATTTAACAAGTACCAAATTATTATTTTTTAGTCGTCCACTCCATAAAGGTGGTCATTTGTATCTAATGTATCGTTAATACTAGTATGTATTTAAAGACCTTAGTAGTACGTTCAACTTTATCTTTGAAGCAGTTTAATTTACTGATTGGCAGTTAAGCATGATTTTCAAGTCTTCATTTAAATATTCTGTGGATGATCCATTAATATTCGTATTCACTAATAGCTTATGTTTTGAGTTACTCTTCATTACATTTATTATTATATTAACTTTTACTTTTATACTCAAGTTACTTATTGAATAGAATTAAACCTATTTTACGTCTTACTTGTATTTTAATTAATGCCCATTCATTTTAGAAAGAACGTTTGTGTCATTTTTTCAGTTTGCTTGTAGAATAATCACTTAATCATATTATACCATTTCAGACAATCGTCCATATAAACATAAATTCTCAAAGTCCAATCTATTCGTTTTTGTATAGTGAAAGCGAGTAACTAGTCATTAAATATAAAAACAATTCTGAATTAAAGTTTGTTGATAGAATTTATAATAATAATAATAATAAAACATAAAACCTTTTGAAGTAATATTATTGGTCAACACATTTTATAAACAATCATATTCACTCATTTTTATCTAATGCTTGAAAATGGCAAAAGTATATAAAGTAGAACATAACGAATATCAATCTGTATTCACCGCTGTTCACAGTGACATATTTGGTAATTTCTAGATAATCTAAATTAGGTGATTGAATTAATTTACAAGATATAGTATAATATATATGCCGTTAATAATTAAACGTACCAGATAGTAAACAAGCTTAACGCTTACCTTTGAACCATCTAGACATTTTGTGCAATATGTCTTTTCCATGTTAAAATTTCGTTTCCTATATGGGATACAAAATGTACCTTCACATCTTTCATCCGGAGAATATGTTTGAGTTGATACTGTTGATGTCTTAGCACATTTTAGATTGTTTATTTTATCAGGTAAATAGGATAAACCTAATGAATGAATCTTTTCTTCTTGTTTTAAATTTAGATCACTTTTTGAATAATCTGTGTGCTTAAGAGCGTTAACGTTTTTATCGTAAATAAAGTCATTCTTTTGTTCATTTTGAAGATGCTTGACAATATCCTCATTTAGTCTATCTGGATTACATATATAGGTTTCATTTAACTTATTACATTCAGTATTGATTACTTTGAAAGGTAACACTAATTTAAACTCTGATGAAGACTCATAATGTTTGAGTGTATGAGGATGAGCTTTTGTAAATTTACTTGTGAATTTATGAAAATTATGTTTAAAGACTTGATCATTCTCTAAATTTTCGAAATAATTATTCATACAGCAAGTATTGTGTTCATTGAATTGTTCAAAGCTTGTTGTCATACCATGTCTGGGTAAGTAGAAACAACGAGATTTTAATTCAATAACTTGGTGTTAAACGAGTTGAATCAGTCATAATTCTAATTGTAAAATAAGAATTACTGATTTTTATACTACGTAATTGAGTAAAACTTATAATCGTGTAATTCAACTACACGTTTTCATGGGTTACTTCCAACAAAGCTATTGCCTGAAACAAGTAAATAATCAATAATGTGTTTGTGGGCATTAGTCTTACAACTTCAATAGTCAACATTAGATAACAAGAAACAATAATAAGAATTTACACCACAAAAATGAAAAGGACTCAATTAAGTACATTCACCAAATTTAAGTTATTGTTTGATTAAACTTACGAAATAAGACTTATTATTTATAGATTTTAAGAACAAATACATATTGATATAACAGATGGTTTAAAATATCTTCCTCTCAGGTATAATTTAATAATACTTCATGTAAGATCCAGGATTCCCTGCCCAGAAGAGTGAACCAGATTAACACTAAATAATACCTTATTCAGCACAATTACAAGCTGTCAAACTCAGTGACTCTAGAGTAGAAATCAATGAGAGGAAAAAATGTCACATATTTAATAGTCAGTAGGCTAAGTTCCTGTTTGTCTACACTCAGTGACCAATCACATTTTACTTTTAACTACCACATATAAATGGAAATAAGATATTTCATTTATATTCATATAGTTGGTAACAGAAGCATATCTAAAATGATACCAGATAATAAATCAGTTTCATAGTGTGAATACTATTACTTCAATGATGTTTATATATTGTTAAAAATAATATGTGAAGGGTATCTAAGGGATAAATATAAAAACAGAACAAACTCTTAATGTTTAATTTTCCCGTAAGTGTTCAAATTCAGAAACAATTTTTAAAATAAGTAAATTTAATTGCTGATAAAAATTTCAAATATCCATAATTTCATGTGAATATAATAACGTTCATTGACGTTGTCTTATTTTTAGATATTTTATTCTTTACATAAAAGTATTTCATCATTAAGTTGAACGTACCTGGATTTACAGTCATCTAAAAAATCCTGAAATTCATCTCTATTTGTTTCTACTGGATAAAAATTGAAATTATTTACATTATATCGTTGATTAGCGAAGTTAAATTTCCAATTATCTTGTGAAGACTTGTTGGTAGAATTAGATTTCTGAATGTTTTGAAAAACATTTGGATTAGAATTTAAAATATTATCAATTTGAAAGTTTGTATTTGTCTGTTTGGTGTACAGCATTTGACAGTTTTTACACAATCCAACCTCATAAGATCTAGGTGATTGATCTTCATATTGATTAAATTGATTTTGGGATAAAATACGCGGTCTATTATGATATACATTTGTAGGTATAATTTTACTTTCCATCTGAAAGACAATACAAGCGAAGTATCTCATATATTACTATTTAAGAATAATTGAGGTTAGGACAGTAAAAAAAGGAATTTCTGTTGAACAGTCAAAGAATTAATAGTAATAAAACATAAGCAAACATTCATGTATGACACCGAAAGGTCCAAAAGCTGAGTTTATAGTGAGTTGTCCGATAATGAGGCACGAGAAAAGAATTACATTTAATTGCGTCAAATTCTGAGCTTAAACATGTTGGGAGTTATCAATGAGAAGATATGTATTCTCAACAACTAAAACAGTTTTAGAATAAACATGTGTGTAGAAAGAGAGTGAATAACAACTACCTGACCCCAAAGATGTCATTTTGAAATTTTGTATACGAAAGCTTTAAATTATAATCTCTGAAGTCGAACTCCAATCATTTAAAAAAGCCTGCTCCAGTGTCTATCTTCTAAAAGACTTTTAGCGTGAGTACCGAAGTACTTTTTAAAAAGTGGTGAGAACTCTTTTTGACATGGTTTCCTTGATGATAAGACTATAACAAAGATTTCCGAATCTTTTTTTACAGAGTTTCATGACATAAGGTTACTGATAAATCTTCCAAGCTCTTGTAAAAGCATGTCATAAGTCTCAAAAAATTGAGTCTTGATGTCGTTTGTATAGATTATTGTGCATTTTCTTCTAACCCCACTGGAGTTTGTAATTTCGCATAAACTAGAACAATAATACTTATCAAGATACCCAGAAGATAATGTAAATATTTGAAAAATAGAGGTGCTTGTTGATTTATCCTACAGAAAGAAAGAAAGAAATCCCTCTGTAAAAAGGTCTTGATGGTTAAAGATTGCGATAAAAATCATACTACCTCCTCCACACTTTTTATTCTATCATGAAAATACACTGCATTTGACGATAAGCTATTAAAGGTAATTTGTTTGCATTGGTCAGTCAGTCATGAGCAACGTAGAACTTGGCATATATATATATATATATATATATATATATATATATATATATATATATACCCTATCAGCACATTGAGGTGAAACTTTTCAAGAGAGTCCCATGGTAGTATAGGTAGTAATAAAATTAGTGGTAATAGAAAATCTTGGGCATCAAAGATAAGATTCGAGAAAAAATATAAATTGGTGAATTAAAAAAGGGTTTCAGGCAATTAAGGAACTTAGGATTTAGGAAAAAAGGGTGAATGCAACTGCATAGTTGTGAACGATTTTAAGCAGTGTCACTCAAGGTCTCTAAAAACTTCTTACGATTTTAGTGGCTCGAGATCTGACTCCAGGTTGATCGTTTCTGGTTGTTATCGAAATATATGTATGACGCCAACCCTAGTATATAATCCTCGACTCAACGCGAGTTGGTGAATAACGGAATCAAATGAGTCAAATACGAGAATGGATTTTGAACAAAATGACGCGTGATGGACAAGGCGAGTGAGCCAATTCAATTTAACCAAACGTGAATCGATATTTATAGTCAGACAATGAGTTACAGACATGTGATGGGTAAGATAGGAAATGCACACACATGCTCTTACATAAAAGCAGTCAAGATTGATAAGCGAGTAATTAACAAGGTCAAAAATGCGACTCAAGAAGAATGAATAGACTGGCCTGTCCGGAAGATAGAATAAGCTATGTGGGCTTGCATAGCACTGCACGACAATCACGTGAACCCCGATCAAATGGTTTGATCCTACCTACATGGTTTAGTCCAAGGCTGAAGTAATTAGTAAAACAGCACTCATATACCCTGCAGATTAGAACCTCTGTACTCATTAGCTAGGACAACCATGATCGTTAGCGGTGCTTTTTAGTACGAATGCCCCCATGTTCATAATATTGAAACTTATTAACAAGATGGTAAAATTCGTGAGCTTCTTCATTGTCGTTTGAAATTTCAAAAGCGATCGTTTACTGTGATTACAGTAAAACTTATAAAATGAAAAACAAAATATGAAGTAATATTCGCTGAAGTTCTTCTAAGTATTTTGCCCCCAAATGCCCTGGTACGGCCGAGAGTGGGGAGAGTCCGCTCTCCCTCTCGAAATGCTCTCACATGGCCACGCATATATAGCCTCTGCCAGGGAAGTCCTACTCACTGCCTTCTCGTGGCGGGGGTGTTGTTTACAAAAATGAGAGGACGAAAAGCGAATGTCTGGCGCTTTAACCGGATCTCAAACCAATGGTGCACATGGGCTCCAGTATCCTGCGGGAACAAATGGCGTATGAACCAATCGTTGGTCACCGGCTACCATGGGTCTGCATCTCCTTACGATGCTCCACTGCCTTGTGGATCAGACGTTCAGGTCAAAGGCTCGGGGTGTGGCCCCCTAAGGAAACCACCTGCTTCGGTTTGGGCACCCGGGCAGTATCACAGCCCTCACACAAATCAATTGAGATTTGTGTCGCGCATATGTATTTGGTGCCTCCCTGTACCTATACTTATGTGTTAAAATAAATAAATAAATATAAATTCTAAGTATTTTGTAAGATGAAGCTGGAAAAGAAAGTATAGTTGTCTGCTAAATGACCATTAGCGTATGACAGGTTATAATTAAAAATAAATGGACGTTCCTTGCATTCTAAAATTAGTACATATGGCATCTTTTTAAAATTCATGAAATTCCATACATCTACCAAAACGAAGTAGGTTTTCAAACACATAGGGACATATGTTTGAAAATGTTTCTTAAACAATCATCACATTTAGGAACATATAGCTATTCATCCACTTTACTGCTTTATAATTTCTTCAGACACTTGTCATCGTTCTACTAATCTTCCTTATTATAATATAAAATATGTATATTGGTTATAATTAATCACTGCTATTGTTTCTAGGTTGTCAGCAGCTGAAGATGAACCGCAAAGTAAATGAATTAATCTTATTTTGCTACACTTTTGATACTTGCTTTAATCAAATCTATTAAATTATGTATATTTGACTTATGTTGAATTAAAACTTCACTTGGTAATATTAAAATTATTAAATATATTTAAAATCTTTATACAGCATAAAGTGCATGCAGCACATCTATCTTACAATTATAGAAGGACTACACGGTGTTTTTGTATTTAGTTCAAGTTAAGAAACAAAATGAACATTCGTTTAATCTGCTCATGTTGTGTGAGGGAAAATGGTTTCTAAACCAGAGCTTACGGCATGGGCACTTCTGTTGTTGATAACTGGGAAATTATTGATTGAGTTATTATCTGGAAATAATGGGACTTCTACCATTTTAGGAGACTGTTGCATTTTTCGGGAGTACTGGGAAAAATATAAGTCAGAAGGTTGAATTATTTCGTCGTAATCAGACTTGGAAAAATGGATTTCATGAAGATGATTAAACAATCCAAAGCTTGTTTCTTTATCAATTATATTCACTGGTTGTTTTTGATCATTTTCTGAACTAACTTTATTTCTTTGTGGATCAAATAAATCTGGTGAGTCCGATCGAATACTAAAACTTGGTGACTAAAAAGAGAGGAAATTTAAATATATGATGCAAAGAATAATTCAATAAATATTTTTAAATGATCTGTCTTAAAATACTACTTTCTCTATTGATTATGAGTTACTAAGTCAAGAATGATCAATACTTTTGACACTAATCTACAAATGAGTGTACAAGGAAAATAAGCATATACATTTATTTGGACATATGAAATCTCATTCATATTGCTTACAAGTTAGTTTAAATTTCCAAAGTCAGTCAATTCACAATATCGAATGACCATAATACGTTGTAATTAACGATGTTTATTCTCACAGAACTTCAATAAGTTGTACTAGGCTTTTATTACCGTTCAATTAACATGAAAAATTCACTTGAAAAGTTATGCATAGATTATCAATATACTCAGTTGTAATTTGTTCCATCTTTCTAAATTACCATAAAATTAGAATGTTTTATCTTACAGTTTTATCAATATCACTTATTTCATGCCGTCGCCGTATTCAAGTCGTTAAAAGATGTTTATTTTATAAATTTAGAAGTATTGCTAATTATCTTTCTATAAGATTTTGTCTAGATGCTGCAGAAGATGCCCAGTGTAAATACGATTCATAATGTCAAACGAAAAAGAGAACTGAATTTATATCAAAGTAAATAATAAAGCTGAAAGAAAGTGTAAATCACACATGCATTTGACGTAATAGTCATTATGTTATTGGTTTTGTACTTTAACTACTGAGCGTAAGGTGTGAAACGACGTAAATTTCGCTTTAATTTTATTAACTCTAATAATTGGGAAGAAAATAGCACAGCATTTAGTAAACAGTTTATGATAAGTGCTTTTTATCATTAGTGAACATTATATTCGAAATCAGCGGAATATATGTACTGATCAAAGTCCTAATTTTTACTCTTGACGAACTTGCACCAACTTTTAACTACTTTGATGATAAAACTCATATGTTTTAGAACATATCAAACTGTACAAAACAGGATTTTAAAATTACTCAAAGTGAATAATTCATAATTACTTTTAGGACCGGTTAACTAAATTATCTTGAAAGTGGGTTGATTTAAAAGGTCAAACTTCTATCAGGCATGAGTTTTTAGTCAGTTCGTTTTTTTTGTTGTGTTCTGTGATTATTTATTTTAATGAACTTGTTTTGATGTCCTTTTACAAATTGGATTTCTGTTCATTTGCGTCCTAATAAAATATAGGAACTATAAATAAATGGTTATAAGGGTTATGAAATTACAGAAAAGTTGTTTGAAATATATATTGTTTGGAAGTAAATTACTTCATTATTCTTAAAGATTTGTGTTGTATATAGAATAATATTGGGGGGAAAGTATTTTTGATTTACATTAGACTATTACCAGTTTGAAACTGGTAGAAACGCTGAACTCATTAAACTCACATAAATCCCTGAAGAACATGTATGATGAAATTCAGTATCAAAATTGCTCCGATTTGCATCAAGTAGAAGATTTTTATGCTCTGCTGGAGGCAAATCTTCCTTAACACCGAAACTGATTTCTTTTCCCTCCCTAGGCTTATATGGTTGGCGACTGACTGGATGACAATGAATTTCCTCTGGAGGGTTATTTCTTTCTTTAGACGTCCGACCACCTAGTCCTCTAAAACAAGTAAAAAGTACAGTAGAAGTTTCATTTAACCGTGCAAACAAGTAGAATTTACTGGTATGAGAATAAATTCGTTATGTTAACTGTTTACGAATACAAACTTAATGACTATTAGTACTTTTATCAAGTAATGAAACGTTTTATCATATTTTATCGACTGGTTTCATCTACTAATTGATCATTCGGTTATCGTATTAATTTAAATCCATTACGAAAAATGGCCTTTGTGTTGAATATAATAAACTTAGAATTGCTTTTGGGCGTTAGTCATAAATGACTTGTGTTCCTAAAAGAAAACATTGAAGACAAAGTTTTCATTTTTTTAAAAAGTTATCTACCGCTATTATAAATTACATTTAACAGCCCAGTGTCAAAATGAATTGGAAAATTCCTTACAGCTTGCTCAGTAAAAAAAAAAATAATTGTTCTTAGTTGACTAAAAAACTGTAAACTTAGGTGAAGGTTATACAACCATAATCAACTATTTGTATGAATTTTAATAGGACTTATAAAACACTTGAATGAATTAATGAGTTGTTTAGTACCATGCATCTATAAAGCAAATCCCTGTCTGACCCCATACAGGATAATGACGAATCGAGCAACCAGAATAATACTTTCAGAACTAAGTTTACATAGTCTGTCAAGTTATGTGCAAACGACATTAAATAAAAAGTATAACCATATATCGACTAGTGTTGATAAAATGAAACGGTTGGTAAATACTGTTGCTCAAAAAGAAATATTCCGTGCAGCTGGTCCAATCGGTTGACGAGTAGTTTAATTATTTTCAAGCCTCCGAATGATTGGCTTCTCTAATAGGACCATGAAGCTTTTCATTTTTTCTGGAGTTAAGACTAACTAGTCTGCTTTAAACAGGATGATTACCTATTGTTATGAAGATAAACACTGGAAGTAAATTAAAAAACATGTAAATAGTATCGAATTTATTCTGTATTATTTGTTTAGTACGATATGGAGTTGTCAAAATACAATATCTCATCAAGTTTCCTTGACACTTCTTGTATCGCATAAAAAGAATCGATAAGCGCATACATGATGTATGCATGAGATTGGAAAAAGATTATTTAGAATTAAATGAATCGTTCTTCAGAAAAGTAGAATACACTCAATTATGAATTATCAACGTGTTCATAAATATATGTTTTGAATAAATCTGCCCTTATAACCTGTTCGTCTCACTGTATATGTTAGATACTCTACTGTATAGCTTTTGTGTTTCTGATTACAGGTATGTCTATAATTGCAGATTAGTGGCTAGTGTATAATTTCAACAGAACTCTTTAAGAGATTTTCTGCTATAATCTACATATTTTTGGTTTAATTTTAATCGTTGATCGCATAACAATGTACTTCCTAGGGTTGAAGTGAATATTCACATGATCCATAGTGAATTTGTAAGCCATAAAATTGTTGATCACAACTTTGATTATTAGAATCTACAACATCAAACAGCTGATAATGGCAAATTACATCTCCCACATTATTTTGCACATTCATCTACTTAATCACATCATTTAAGATGACTAGAATTAGGGTTTTTAAACAATCCCATGAAACCAGTTATATCACTCAAGTGAACTAATTCATAATGAGGTTTAAGATGTCTTATTTGTTTCGGTATAATTTATAGGCAAAAAACAATGGAAAGCCTAATTTTAAGGAGAAAAAGCTTCATACCATGCCATAATTCTGAAGTTTTTCAATCAATACAAGATTCAGGGAAACCGCTTCCATATTTACGGAGAATCTCATTGATATTCGTGACTCACGTGGAATCACTAGCTAGAGATGTCATATCCATTGTATATTTTCCAGTCAGTTGTTTTACCACATCGGATTTGAGTGCTACAGTTTACTAGAAACTTAGCGGGGTTAGTCATAAACAGCCTCCGGAAAAAAACGATTTACACTAAAACTCTAATTAATCGTGAAATCAAGTGTTTCCAACTTGAAATACCCAAATTAGTCTACAGACTAATTACAGAACAATCTCTTGTGAAGATTTTCACAACCTTTTTCTTTTTTTCCCTACTTTATTGCTTCATAGTGTGATAAATTCATTAATCCACCAAACGTTATTTTTATTCAGAATTTCATATAAGTGTGTTTTTATCTTTTGATGTAGAAGATAAAATAATGAAAAAATCGGCAGCCTAAAAATAACATAATTAACAACTTATTTGTGTTATAAATACCTATTTCATTGGGTGATAGATTTCTAGGTCCACTGATAGTCATTAAGAAACTATAAGAAACACGAAAGACTGTTAAAACTACTTCTGTCTAGATTATACAATACTACACCATTTTAACTTGTCTCCGAAAATATGGTATCAACTATCGATAGTAACCCATCTTAAAATGACGTGAAGTCATTGTGATGCTATCCTTGAATTTTTACCATGGTATTGAAATGATATTTTTGTAAAATTTAATACGAATGTTATTGATTTAAACATGAGGGCTGGTTACCTACCGTTTTCTGGCTTTGTGAAGAAAATCGTCGATTATTTGTTGAACACGTGACCGTTGAACAAATTCACTGGATATGGAAAAATGAAAATACTTTTTCATAATAACAGATAAACTTAAACGATGTTAATGAAAGCTGGTAGAAATCACTGGTTAGTATAACATAAATCTAGTATAGGTAGATCGAAAAACACTTTGACTTAAGTGGATCCTATCCTATTAAGCTAACTATTTGTAAGCCATGACTAGTAAGTTTTTAATAAACCTTTTTAAATGTTGCAAGAATAAGGCATAAAATAGTAAACAAATTTTCAAGTTAATAAATAAATCAAGTCATCAGTTTAACCTTTACTCAATAACAAAAAATATTCTTTATCGGACACTAACCTTGGTAATCTATGATGACAGGATTGAGGATTCAAAAACGTTGGTTGGGGGTGGCTGTATGTGGTCGGTTTGACCTGATTACTTCCATTCCTCTTTATTTAAAAAGATTTATAAAAAGTATTGCTACACATTAAAACTCATAGTATGGTGTTAGATGTTTCAGTAAAATTTGATATAAATAGGAGAAAGATTGTTGCCCACTGACACACGCTCACAGTCATGCATACTAGATTTTAATTAGTAATTGAGACATAAAAATACAGGAATAAACATCCGGATCTTCATCAGAAATGTATCCTATAGCTTTGCGTTTGTAAAATAATTCAATTTACACCCACATTTTGTTAGAATGAAATGAGGCTAATTAAAAGATGTCAAAGCATTTTCGGACTTAAACAATTGCCTAATTAAATGATTTACTCAAGAACTCTAGTTTCAAGAGGCAGCAGCTTCCAAACGAATGAATCACAGTGACTCTACTAGATTATTTGAAGCTACAGGAGTGACTGGTTTGATGTCGGTAAATGCTATTTAGTCATTTTACTTAGAAAATTGCATTAAGTAAATACGAAACACATATCAATATCTTTATATCTCAAAGTTTGTCACCATACAAATGTAATATAAAATCCATAAAATGGGAGTACTAAATGAAGATTCTTTAATCCAATAGGAATTTATAATTTACGTAATATTTTTAATAATAATTTTCACAATGGAAATCTTTAAAGTTCTTATAATGACTTCATTTGAAATAAACCTCAAATATAATTACACTGTAAAGTATACTAATGTGTAGGGCCAGTGGAATTCCAATGAGCCCTAGCCAAATCATCCGGCAGTTTCGTCATTGAATATCTAACAAATCATTCATCCTTGTCAAGGTCAGGGACCATCAACTCGCATCAGTTAATCGTACGCCATGGACTGGCCTATGCGGCAGTGGTCTTACCTTCGCTTGTATCTACCTTAACTAATATATTTCTGTAATAACGTCCATTATGTTGCACAGTCTTCAAAGCATCTATAGTACCTTGATACGTCAATGAGTTAATCCACGTAAGGTGCAAACCGCGAAGTGTGACTTTGACGTTAGCTAGTTTGTCACACCACTCACGTCTAACTCGAGTAAGCCTCCAATCATTTCGACATAGATCATCTACGCTGGTGATCTACAAACGTATCGTGATGAATAATCAATACATTTAATGCACAGTTGAATATTCTATGTCGTGTTTAAACATATCATAATAATTAAATACAATCTTGTACTGCGTATTTAAAATCGGAGTCGTTGATAGTGTTTCTTTGAAGTTCTAGACTTATTGGAATTAATCCTACATTGTTATATTATTTTAAATTTACATGCGCGCATTAATTGAATGAAAGAGGCCCGAGTTTCAGCAGATATATGTCGTGACTAAAAGCGTACGATTCATTCCAGAAGTACATAAAACCGTTACCTGGGTTAGTTTTTGCCTTTGTTGAATACTTTCAATTATTCGATCAACTGCCTGAGTACATCGTTTTGAATTATTGTACTCACTGAAAATTTCAGAAACAGCATTTACTTTGCTAGGCTTGGACAAAGCATTATTATCATTCGTTCTTCCAGGTATATTTGCTCTCTTTGCCCAACCTTCAGGAAAAAACCTGCATTAAACAGTAAATATTTCATGTCGAATTTCAATTTCATGTAAAACATAAAGAAAATAATTGAGTTAGCAGATCCTATTCCTTGATAAGTGATATTTACATGCGAATCGTTGAGTCAATAAAACCATTCTGTACCTTGAGTAACAAGGCAAAGTAAGAAAAAAGAATGAGAACTTTTCCACCTTATTCTGTGTTTTGTTTCTACATTACTAAATAAAATTAAAATAACTTCTAAAAAAACATTCTACAAACAGTTTTGATGACAGCACTTTCAAGCCCAAGGGAAATCCTCATTTTTTACAGTAAACATTAGGAGAGATTTTGATCTCATCTTATCTTGTACAAACTATTCCATTTTAGTAACGAGAAGAGGATGCTCTTGATAAAATGATCTGACGATGTTATCACAAAGATAGACATCAAATCTGTCAATGGTAGACCTCAATAATATGAATTAACTTGCTTCCGATCCATACTTAACAGTGCTATTGGTTTGTTAGTATCAAATCTGATTTCTTAAAGCCATGAGAGTTGCTACAAATAATAAAGTGTGAAGTACTTCGCCTTATCAAGAAAATTTAAAATATGTAAGAGTTTGGGGAATTTGAAAAAAATGTTTTGGGGTTTCAGTGCCATTTTTTTAAGATATCCTCAAAATCGGGATATTGGGATGAAAAGCACATATAATATTGACTGATAATATTATCATCCTTCTCAATATAATGAGTTGCCAATACGGTGGACCTCGTTGTACAACTACCTATTATACAGCCCAAAAATAATTACTGAGCAAAAGTGATGTGTGTACATAAATCCAATACCTTTGCTGTCCGGATATATGCATAATCCTCAGAAACACAGAACGGTTTTGAAGAGCCACAAGTTCATGAATATGAACAAACAATGTCCCATATCCAATTGCTTATATTTTAACAGCTCATACTACTTAATCAAAGAAGTAAAATATAATGACCGCTTTTTGTAGCGGAAAGTGAAAAAGTTAACGAGATGCATGTAATTTAGTAAACTGTCTTAGTATTATAGTTATGTCTTTTATTTTGTAATCATTAAGTCATTTAATGGAAATATTCATTCGTCTGATCTTAAAACATCTTAATTATGAAGCCTATATATGATGGCTGACCTCCCTCTGATTGGCTGGATATCTTAATGTCGCTCGCGTGTTTCATTGACTTTCCAATGTAACGAACAATTTATAGAAGCATCTCTAATCTCTTATTTCTTTGCACCAGTAAACGGCTTCTCCTCCGGAATATGACTAATTTCAGGCACTTATCTATGTTTTTGTTACCAAAATCTCGCACATTATATGTTCTTCAATCGACATTCTGATATTGTATCATCCGATAATCGTCATCTGATATTAAAATACCCACCTTGGCCTTCATGACGTCTTTTGTATACTGGATGTCTCGGCAATGTGATGAACATAATCATAAGACCCTTTCGCGTTTATTGAATAAGTTTGCTGTTTTTTAGACTCACGATGCATTATAAAAACTAGCAATAGTTGTTTACTAGTGGTTTACACCACCGCCCAGATAATACATTTAACTTAGGAGGAAATCAAACAATATTGCTATGGCTATTTTCATTGTGAGCTTTAGTATTCGGCAGACCAACTGGTTAAGTCTAAGACTGTTCGGTGCTTACCCTATTAGTCATGAATGAGCCAGTACTCAATTCAGAAAGAAAGCAGTGAGAGCTTTCGGAAGTATTGTATCTTGAAAGTCGACTCATTTACACAATAAAGAACTAAATAATTACCGTAACATGAAAACAACTCAATACTCGAAGACCAAAACCTTTATACACAATACTGCATTAAAGGGCTCCATGAAAATCATTTTTTGGGAATCCATTAAAACCTGCTTTTGTATTAAATATACATGTACATGATTAAATTCTGTGTGATCAGAGATTTATTTCTCTCTAGCCTCTCATAGCCCCCAAACGTTCTTTGTAGTTATCTAAGGACTTTGGAGCTTGACAATTTTAAAGTAATAGAAGTCCTAGGGCTTCAGGGTTTTACTTACAGACCTTTGGGTAGCATGTCATTAGAACTACTCAAAACCGTTGAAGTAATTAATTATGACGTCGATCGTTGGAAACTTTCGAATTACGTTTCGTTGTATTTGTAAGGGTACCGATTAACTGAAATTTTAAAAAAAATGGTCAAATAAAATATCAACTGATATAAGAAACAAACTTTTCTCGATTTATCTAGTCTATGCAGTACTGAGCGTTTACGGGTGTGTGATTCTAATGTCTAATCTCCCATGTATTTTGGCTCACATTGGTAAGGAACTATTAAGAGCTGCAATTAAACGCAACTCAATTTCATAAATGTGCCCTCCAGCTTAGCAACCAATCAGAATGAGGCGGGAATCATTATATCCGCCGTCTTTGTAAGCAACGGCGGTCGGCTTTCTTCGTTCTGTGCTTCTTTCAGCCATTTCTTTTGTTTAGATAAAATGCCGCAGTTAGTGTAATGTTTTACATATTGGTGTGAAATTTTTTCGAATCAGCGATTTTTCCGGGTTTTTGCTGCTTCTACTCAAGTCAATGTATTTCTTCAGGCAATCTGGCTAGTCTTGTGTTATAAAATGTTGATGCTTTATGTTCTGAGTTTGTTTTCAAATATCGGGAGTCAAGGCTAATTTTTTAGCTTAAATAAGTTTTACGGCTGTATGGAACTCGAAATGTCGGCATAATCGTTCTTAATTGACAGGCGAGCTCGTTTTTTTATGTCATAAAATCTTAATCCGTTATATTTCGAGTGCCGTTTTTTAGATATGGAGGACGGAAGTTAGATTTCTTTAGCTAAAATAATTGTTGCTGCCGCATGTGACCGTAACTGGCCGCATATTCGTTCCTAACTGTTATCTATTGTTATCAGGCAGAATGAAAAATTTGTTATCTTCTGCAGTATTATGGATCACGCTACTCCATTAACCAGTCAAACTAATACTGAGTGTCCAGTGGCTGTGGATATCAAGTTGATGAATTAATACGCATGAGGCGTCTGGCTACAGTTTCCGAACATGGTAAGTTTACTGGTGCTTTCGAAACCAAAATCTAAGTATTTATAAATGCATTCATTAAGCTAATACTCGTACTCTCGATTTTAGATAATCAGTGAACACAAATCTCGTCATTTGCATCTGCTACGTTTCCAGTTTTCGTTAATACCTTATTCAATAAAAGTCTTGTATTCACTAATTACACAGTTTCTTGTTATATTTGGTATAAGGGGATGAAAACATTGAACGGGCCTGTAGTTGCGTTTTGACGAGCGCGCACCCTCACGATACTGGTGACCCGTCAGTGTAACTAAGGTATTGATTGGAAATCCGACGGCATCCCAATAAACAACTATGGCTTAAACGCGTACTCATCAACGTACTACGCAACACATCATGGCGGCTGAAATAGGTTATAAGAAGGCCCGGACTTGGGGGTTTCCCGTTGCTTGTTTATCATATGGTATTTCAATCAGAAACTAAGATTACAGGCAGGGACTATTGGGATGTACAACTGTGTCAACTGTCTTAACTTGAAATTACTACATATCAACTAGGTGCTGAGAGGCTTGCGTTTCACCAGTTTCTTACAACGATTAACTAGATAAAACGAAATAGCATCAAGTCTATAGATTTATTCACGAACTTTAATTACCAGTGGAATATGAAACAAATATTTACACTAGGTTCCAAATTACATTGTAGCATTGGTAAAATGAAGCTGCAGTAGTTGTTTCTTTTTGAACGATAGGGTATAAGAAGTAACTCCAAAACACTGGAAGTGGTTGTGAGATTAAAGTGGACGTCCGATATGTTTTTAATAATCTGCTGTTACTTGGGTCTCCCATAAAGTTTCATAGCGTCATAGTCATAAAGCTGAATGACTTTGTAAGTTCTGTGACGGCTCATTTCTGTTACATTCTAAATAAAAGATAGTAATGGAGTTAGTCAAGGATGTTGAGAAGGTAAATAAACAAATTAAATGTTTCTAAGGAAAGAATTTATGCAGCTGTGATTTACCTCGACTTCATAAATATCAGATCATGCCACCTAATAAAACTTGTGCAACGTACAGCATCGCACAGTTTTTATTATTTTGCTCCCACTTAAGTATTCCCATGCATATGCGTCCGGTTTTACAGGACGATATACAAGTTGATTTGGTATCCGGTAAACTAAAATTTCCAGTTGTCAAAAAGACTGTTAACACTTATCCACAGCCAGCAGCACTTAATTAAGACAGAACACTCCTCACCTTAGACTGTATACTGCTGTTTTGCAGGCAAATAAAAGCTCAGACACTTAGCTATCCTGCTACCGATGTCAATGCTGGAGAAATCGTTTAATGACAGTCGTCTTGAAACATGGACAGTGTTAGACGTACTGTTTAGAAATAAACACCAAACATACTTAAAGCTATCAAATAATGTATGACAACAACAGTACCAAAGGCTTTTTTCCTATTTTTAATCAGACTGATTTGAATCAGTATACACATTAGAAACAGGCAGCTCTACTTACTAAACTGACCTGTTTCGTTACAGGCTTCAAGCAATATACTTAAGTGTACCATAATTCTTTCGACTAAATTGAATTATAATACAACCAAGAATACTAAACTAAGCAAGCGTCATAATTATTGTTTCATTTGCACAGACATGTTGCTCAAAGTATTTGAATGGACATAATTCAGCCGATAAAACCAAAACACGAAATTTTGGCCAGTTGAGCTTACCTAACAGAAGACAAAGGATATATATATATATATTGTTTTCAGACTGAAGACAATAGTCATCTGTTCATACAAACATAGTTTACAGTAACCTTATGCATGAACCTCTATCTGGAAACAATCAATTATGAGATTAAACCCACTATAACTTGGGATATCACCACAGCGTGCAATGAGTGTACAGCGTAACGCAGTCGGACGTGGTAAATAAAAGTTATAACCATAGCTAAATTAACAGCATAATATACTTATTTAATTAAACATACATTATGAAATGACAAAATCTGTGGTTACTTGAACGCACAGATGACTCTGGGTGATACATTAAGTTTACATAGTTGCGTTGCGGATAAATTCACCCCTATTAAGCTACAATATATGAATGAATAAGAACTGAGTAGATGAATATGTTATGAACGATTTTTCAAAGATATAGTGGTCCGATAATATTTGGAGAAAAATGGTATCAATAGCTTCTCTTCTAGCTTGTGAAAACTATTTTGGCATCAGAAAGGGTTTTGTGGAGATTGTAATAAATTCAGTAGTTAGATCACGAATCAATTAAGGCTAAACCACCGTGGAAAACCTGGAAGCACTGGACTGCCGTTTCGTTCTATTGTGGGACTCCTCAGCAGTGAGCATCCACTCTGATTGGTCCTGGATTGTAATCTTGCGAGGCGGGGTCGAGAATACGCACTGCTGAAGAGTCCCACAATAGGACAAATTGGTTGTCTAGGGCCTCCAGGTTCTCCATGGTGATCTAGCCTCAATTTACTCATGATCTCAACCGCTGAAAATTATTCTGGACCGATGTAACTTCGTGAGCACCGTATGAGACTACCATCAAGCATTTGCCTCAGTACTCCTCACATATAAGTGTTGTTTATTATCTGACACAGTCCTATTAATTTCGAAATAAAATGATATACTAGCTCAGTACTATTTCTATCGTATTTTATGATTTGTTGTTACGGAACAGCTGGATATCCTAAAGTTGGAGTGCCGCTGTTTGTCCCTTTAGAAAGCCACGTTTTTCATGAAACTATTACAGTCCAAAGTCTATTGTATATTAGGTATCTAAAATTGAGGATTCTTGATTATTACTGCAATGGCATTGTAAACAAAGCTCGGGCCAGCACCACGTCTCACTATATCAGGTCGAGTGTAGATCATCATGATAGATCAATTCGTAGAAACTCAGACTCAGATTCTCAGATTCGACCTTTGCTTATATGTTACATACCAGATTGATCTGGCACTATTTATCATGAATAAAGAAATATTCTTCAGAGTTAAATAAATGCATAATAAATAAACGATGAATATAGCGACTGAATGCTTGAATCGGTTTCCTAGGCTCTTCTAATAACCCCAGGCTAATTATAGACGGCGACTTGAACACAAGATAAAAGGATCGAAATGTGGAAAAGACGCTTTACTATAAGATTAATTTACGTACAAAATTTCTGGGTACTTATAGCATTTTAGATGTTTTTTTTAATTTTCAGGGACGCTTTGGGCTTTTTTATAGAGAATTCAGGGTATTTCTACTATTAAAACGCAGCAGTATGTCATCAATTATATTAGTTCCATTTTTCATATGCTGTCAAATAAATACATCCTGCATGCTTTTTCTCGTATTTAGCTTAAACGCAATCGGTTTTATGTAAGAGAATGAGGGATTTCTAGAGGCAGAAAATAGAGTGAATAATAGTATTAATTATTGTAAAACATTATTGTGAGTGCTTAGCGATGAACTATGATTATGGATAATTAAGTTTAACGACTTCAGAGAACTATGTTCTGTACGCATAACTGAGACAAATCTAAGAGTATTTTTCCTCACCGGACAAACGCAAACGAAGAATATATCAACAATTCTGTAGAAAATATGAATCATAACCTTTAGTCAAAGTAGAATGGCAAATGACCTCGTGTATCATTCTTAGTTAATCTGCAGTGGTGTTCGTCCTAACCACACAATCCTCAAGACTGAACATGAGATAACTGGGATAATGCATATTCAGCAATTATTACGAAGTTTAGTTCTACGATGGGGAAGGTGGGAAGATTCAACTTAATGGAGTTCAATCAGATGGCATGGCTCAGCCTTGCAGACGTGGTTATTCTGTATAACTTGTCTTTATTCATGTCAAATTTATTATTCTATCGCGGTTTGTTACCATACAACGAGTCAGAGTATACAGTGATGTGACTTCCATATAAGATCATATAGATAAGGTCTGCACATAGTAATATATCTACAGATTTATGATTTGGCCTATCATTATGATAGTACTAATAATAAATCTAGACGATAATATTACGAATCATTCTACAAGCAATTTACATCACACTATTATTATTCAGAGGGACCGGCCTACTGATGACCAAGGATCCGCAAATTATTTGATATTGCCGAAGATACATCACCGTATAATTATATAGCCTTTTAACTCTTTATTTTTGTTGTAGGCATATGAGTTACTATTTTCCTAAGTTGAAAAAAAGAAGTTTTCGCGTCCCCGGCTCTTCTGTCAGACGAGCTGAGATATTGTTACTATTGTTCGTCTTCAATTGTGCAAAAATTCTATCTTTGGGAGACAATCTATAAATTGTGTCCTTTATTGACCTTGGTAGCATGTGTGAGTGTACAGCTCATATTTAGAGCTCAGAGTCAGTGAGAATATCCAACAACAATACGAAACAATTACTATTGTTACCTAGACGGTTGTAATTGACATTATAGCCGCTAGTTGTGTTAATGAATGAGCATGCTGTATTTTTTGAATAAACAGATCTCTGTCATTGTTCGCACGCTTGTTCTGGTTTGGCAAGAGACGGCTAAAGACTTTGGACATCATTCTTCATTTTAAACGAAAATATCTTAACCACGACACTGTCTGCGCTACGCAATAAACGTTGCGGATAGACAATTAATCTACCTTTTAATGTGAAAGCAATTAAGCTTGATGAATGGTTTGACCAGGCCTGAGTGACACTTCGTTTTCTTAATAAGCTTAAAAAATGAGCGGAAATACTCACACGTTTTTATGTTGTCTGAAAAAACCTCGAATAGTCTGCATTTTTTTATTACGAACATCAGGTTTGATGTCTAAGCACATCTGTAGATTTCGAATAATCCATAAATTTTTTCCCTCACTATAGCGTGAAGCATTTAGAAAGCGTTAATTGTCCTGAGGATTGTGTGGTTTGGATGAATACCACTACAGATTAACCAGGGATGATACACGAAGTCATTTACAATTCTTTTTAAGCTAAAGGTTATGAGTCATATTTTCTACAGAATTGTTGATAAGTTCTGCGTTTGCATGATTGGGTGTCTATACTGGTACTAAGTGCATGTACCTTTACCACTACGATAGTTGTAGATTTGCCGTCATGTGATCATCTTGTCTAGATGACTCTACGTCACATCATTGCCTACGCTTAATCGTCCCACCACAGCAGTCATTTATATCATGTTTAGCGCATCTGAGGAATACATCTGGGCTAAGAATAGAATGTTTGAAGGAATAAGTCATATATTGTGACAAAATCTGCATGGACGAGCCATGTCATACCAATCAGAGGTTCATGCGCTCGCCACTTTTAGCAAGGAAAAAAATCAAAAACTAGAAGAATAAAAAGAATATAACCACAAGCTTATTCGTTTCACGTCTTATTTTTTATGATGTCTTCGTGAAGCATGGCCGATTGATATATACGTAAATGACCGCCCAGCTCATAAGAAAATGGGATTTAGTTATAGCGCCAAACCTTCATTCATAAACTGTGAGTAATCAGCACATATATATTATCCTGAGGATAAAATAGACCCGACAACAGAAAATTTTCGAGTAATTAACTGGGGTTGATGAATCGAATTTCTATCAGACATTGCAGAATGTCACCACTAAAACTAGCAGTAAGACGGTCATATGTAACTAATGTCGTTTAGAAAGTTCTTTCTGTGATTTTAACTTTCATTTATGATCTAGCGTACTTTGATGTATAACAATTCAGAGAAGTAAAGAGTTTGGATAATATGACATAACGGGATACATATAGTGAAATCAGTTAATCCTCGTAATTTGTCCTTGATCGCGACAACGTCACTAAACTACCCAACATGTACTTTATCTTTAAGTGACTCAAAAATGTCAATCGAATAAACTCAGAATCAGACTCTATTTTCTCTTTAGGTTGTTAGGGTCTAAAAGTCTATCCGAACAGGTAGTATCAGCGCTGTGAGTGAATGAATGCAAAAAAAAATTGATTCATACTTAAAAACACATTGTGGTGAAATATACAGCATTATAGACGTACCCTTCCTATCACTGAATAATGGATTTCAAAAATGTTTAAACAGAATAATACGGGCTAAATGTACTCGCCTAGTAGAAAGGATGCGCACATTTTGATTCCAAGTAGTTGTTTTTGCTTTTGCGTGAGTAAACTGCTTTTCACATTAACGGAAGATGTAAAGTCGGTTTTTTTACATTTCAGTTGTCATTGCAGTATTAAGTTTTAGCCCTTTCACTACAGTTTGCTCTAACTCTTGTTACACTGTTTTCAGTATGCAACCATCTACTTTTATATGAAATGAGATTTGGATACTTTGCTCACTATTTCTAAATTTTAGCAAAATGTAACTACCAAATCTCAAACTACTTAGAATTTCACGTTTTACGAATATCAATTTTTAAGTTTCAAAATACCTTATCATTATCAATAAGACTATTTTCCCTCACTTTATGTAGTTTCTATTTTGGCAACCATTAATTTCTCTATTTCCTTGATTGTGATAAGGTGTTTTGCTTTCGCTAATAACAATCTTAGGATGGTAATATGTTTTAAACAATGCTACTAGAGTAGACTGGATTTATATCCATTGAGATATCTCAGTTCTTCCTTACATAATGTAGGTATGTTAATATCAGTGTCATACTAAACTGTATTAGGTGTTCCAAATTCTCTTGGGAATATCGAGTTACCTGTCAAGTACCCTCTGGGACGAAGCTGAGAGCGGTCTAACCATGGGATGTCCATTGTTCTACGAACTCAGTGGCTGTTTGACTGAGCCATCTTGGTAAGTACAGACTACCTAAAGAGGAAAAATGTATTTGTAAAATCTCAGCGAAAGAATTTGAAGCAAATACGTTTTTCCTCTTTAATGTCTCACATTAACTCGGCGCCCAAATATTGTGAAACTATTCGTTCAAATTTAGACGAAAGTTCTTATTTACAGACTACCTAGTTAGTGACGGCGCAGTTATCGTGATCGTTGGTTATAGATGTTGGGTGGCATAACTGAGAATCAGTTATGATGTCTCAGATGCATTCGTTCTTCGTTTTTTCCAGGATTATGAGACTAAAGACTATTTTATGCTTTTTGTACCGTAGAAATTCTCCTTTTTTCTTGAATTATATCCTCTGTTTTTTTCTTGCTGTTGTTGGTTTCTGCACTACTTTACTCTTTTCTGATTTTGTCACTCTACTAATGTGTTTTTGGAATTGGGGTCAGTGGATATTCATACTAGGTTTTGTATTGCTTGAAACCCAGGTTTCTACAAACTATTGTTCTGAAGATTCATAAAATAAACACTACTTTGATAGTAAATTGTAAATTTATTTTTAAAACATTGAGGTTCTTGGCTTAGTTTTTCTGGAGCCATTGTTTTGCATCATTGATCAGTCCTAAACTAAAACTAAATGGCTTTTTATAGTTATACAGCTTATATCTGCTTGACAGGCGTTTTCCAGAATCTGTTAGTGATCCACGGTGTGCTACAGCTCCTGAAAATTCCTGTCTGACTTGCAGTTAAGAGTTTCAGTGCGACTTAAATATTAATGGTTTTAATTACTTATGTAAACAGATAACAATGTTATATTAAATTATTTATTTTAGTGTATGACTAGCATGAAATCTCGTGAAGATTATTTTTGAAGACTATGCTGTGCGTTCACCGAGAAAGTTCAGCTCCAACTTTGCCTATTCAACAGTTTTATATTGGAAGCGATGATAGTTATGGTATTGCTGATGAGATACATAATTCCACCGTTCTGCCTGTTCATCAAACAAAACATAGCATATCGTCTAATGAACCTGTGAAATCTATTTTAATAGATTACTGTAAACAAAAACCCATTTTGTACTCACAACCTGTTGTAGCTGATTTACATTTACGACCATCATGTGTTCAAGAGATAACTAGTTTTCCTGGTGAGACACCAACCCAATTATCTACAAATTCTGATCACCAATTTAACCAACCATCAAGAACCACTGATGGCCCTGTTGAAAATCCTAAACCACCTAGTGAGCCAACTAGAAATATTCGACCTGATATCCCAGATAAAGAAGGATATGAAATAAATGAAGGTTTGTTCCACGATTTCAATTTCTATGTTTTCACTGTTTCTTGTGGGATTTTATGGTACTATGGAATCATGTATCTTACTGATTATCAGGGTCAGTAAAGCCAAAAATTAGGATATTAATCGTCTACGTATCAATTATTGCTGTAAAGTTTAGTTTGCTGTAATAAAATCGTGATGCATTGTAGTTTGATTATGCACTTTCAATGATGTCTACAAATTTCTGTTTGGTTATAACGTACTGATATTGAGACCTTGGTTCTGACACCAAACTGTGTCCTAGGTCAAAATTTACAGAATGTTCTCATCTACCTTTTTTACAGCATTTGAACTTCCATTGCTATATCCCTCTACTTCATCAATAAACTTTGCGAAATTAGGCTTAAATAATATCCCACTAAGTACTGGTTCATGTACTTGACTTTGAGGCACAGTTCATAAATGTTAGGGTCAATTATGCCTAAACCGAAGTGGGTGGGATGGGCTTCGAAGCAGCGAAGTATTTTTGTTAAAAGTCCAGTACCTTAACCACTAAGCCGCCACTTCGTGCATTTAGGTACTTAGGCTAGTTCACCAGTTAAAATTTATAAATTACTAGATAAATAAGTTATTGTGTTACTAGCTATATTATAATGTACAGTGGCCGATTTTATTTCGGTCATTTTTTAAACGTGATACTCGGAATTATGAGAAAATAGTTAATTTTTTAAACGATTGACGTTAAATGACATTTTAACTATCTCTCTTACAATCTTCACAAACTGCATCGGCTAATACAAAGAATAATAAGTCAATATCCCAACTCTATTTTATGCAGTTTGTAAACTCATTTCAAAAATTAATACAAAGACAGAGTTTTTCAAAGTAGCAGTGCATTCTTGTTTTTTTTCGTATATTTCTTTAACATTCATGCTTGTTTATAGCGAAAAAGTTACTTACTTTATTATATTGCTTCAAATAATAGAATACTGATATTATTGCGACTCCTTAACTGAGGATTTACCCAGAGGACCGGTCTTCAAGCCTGTCTGATTGGATTCCAGAAGACAATTGCTGACCAACTGACTGGATATATGAATAAATATTAATCAGTAGACATGCAAAGTGACATCACTTTGTTTTCTAAAGGCTATTACTGGTGTATAGAATTCTTTACGGGTTCATACGGTCAAATATCTTAGCATTACCTGAATATAAGGTACTGTGAAGTAGTCGCTTCTTCTAGTTATCTGAATTGGTTCAAGATGTGCTACTTTCACCGTTCCAAGTGTCATTAAATATGGTTTTTTATCATGCCATATAACTCCCAGACCATTGCTAATGCTGGGATTCTTATCTCAGTAGGTTAGATGCCGTATCAGTATTTATAATGGCAGTCTGGAGTGTACTAATTACATACATTACTATTCAATTACATTTTCCTGTGCTAGTATCACTTCATGTCAACCATTATTTTTCCATTCTTAGATTTTTTACGCGAACCAGCTCCAAATGGTGGTTGGGGTTGGCTTGTTGCACTAGGGAGTTTTCTATGCATCTTTGCTGTTGATGGTGTGTGCTTCACTTTTGGTCTACACATTAATGAAATGATTCACGAAGGACAGTTCAGAATAAATCCATCTGACTCAAACGAATCACAAAGAAAGCCATCTTTAGCTTTGTTAAGCTTGCCTGGAGCATTACTGTGTGGGATGTATTTTTTATTTGGTAGGTAAACATCTATGATTTTTTAGGGGAAACACTGCACTGGATTATTCCAAACAATTTTACACTACAAAAGGCTTATTATAAAATGTTCATACTAATGTATGGAATCCATGTGTTCAGTGATTTGTCTTGTGGCACATATTTGGTATCTACACCATTAACTATCTTCCATTTTAGTGATTAGTTGTCAAATTGGAGCTCGTATACATCAATTTGAGTTATGTGGCCTCACATTTTGTAATTTCTCACCTTACTGCTTATAACATATTAATCACTTTATTGGACGTGAAGTATTATTATTATCAGCGGTAGTGTGTAAGGAAATCGAAAAGATAAAGGACAACTTGTGAAGAGATTAATAGAAACATTAATAGGAAACAGGTAACTAAGAACTGATGAAAGTATCCAATAGACGGCAAGTTAAAGGTCTGTTAGATGAAGAGCGTTTATAGTAACTGAATTTTACATAGAAATATTCCAAGTAGTTTTTGACCACATAATACATTACGCGGCGAACCATGGTCAAGAGCAAAGCACATCTAAAGTGGTTAGAAAACTCGAGATATTTTTGCGATCTGTGAGTACACATTGTATGAAAATATTTCTTCATTTGAGATGTCTGGTTTCAATAACGGCTGCTTAAGGAACATATCAACTTTGCAGCTTTTAAAAAATGGGTAAAATTCTGCAATGCTCCATTTGTTAATATGATTCTGTTGTTCAACAGTCGTTTCTGAGTTTTAGTTTTATTTAATATTTATGATACTGCGATAATTAGAAGTATTTAAATTATTGTGTGAACTAGGGATTTCCAAAATAGCGCGATCTAAGTAGAGAGAATTAGGTAAGCACTAACGAACGTATTGTATTTGGGATTCGAAATCAGGTAGACACCTAGTACAAAGGAATCATTAGTTCATACAAACACCACAGATACTCATATAAGATCGATTTATTTTGTATAAAATCCTAACTCTAGCTATCATATATAAAGATTGTAATGTTGTACTTAGAAATATCTTTTATATCATCATTGGGACTAGGTGAACAAAAGTTTTGTTTAGGTTGTTGGTAGTATATCAATATTTGCGACAAGCTTTTTTATGTGGTTATTTCTTTTTTTGTATTAGGTCCGTTTACGGGTGCTCTGGTAAATCGTTTTGGCTATCGTATAGTTGCATCAGTTGGTGCAGTCATTACTTCATTATGCTTTCTGATAAGTGCTTTGTTCATTTATGATTCAGTTACATTCATCGTTGTATTCGGTATAATTGGTGGTAAGTGAATTACTTGAGATTCCAGTGTTTACCTTTTTCTCCAGTGTTTGTTTAGGATGTAAAAATATACAGGAATAATTCGAAACATGTGTGGTGGCTGAATTTAAACTACCGGTCTGACAGTATGATAGATGAGCTACAGAGACTGTTGTTTAAAACCCTTCATTTCTGATAGACTTGTATCATCGATATATAACCAGCAGAGTTCACTTTGTCTGCTTCTTGAGTAAAGATGGTCTAAATGGTTCCATAATCTACTATTTTGTATTTCGGAGTAGAAATAAAGTATATCACTATTTATACTTCTGCTGGTTTTAGGTGAGTTTCTTCCAAGACATCTTCAGCACCTATTCTAAGTCCTTGACAGTTCTTATGTATGGTTTGATTTTATGTAATGTTTTATAGTGTTTATACAGTCAAAGATTATATTTAAGGGACCGCAATGAAGTTTTCTCTCCTAACTATGATATATGTTGGATATTTTGCCTAAACTTGAATCTTTAACCAGTTCCATTTCTTAATTTCAACGTGCTAGTAGACAAAGAATAAATTCGTAGCCTGGCTCATATGGTATACCTCTAGACAGGTGACAATTAGAATTGTTCTAAATGTTTTGATAATAGTTGCTCTATGTTATTTGATCTGTCTGTTTATTGGAACGAAGCTTTTTTCTTGGTTAATAAGTGTGGAAAAAAAGTGATTAAAATGTATAATCAAACGATATTAGGAGGTTAATAACTACATAACAGATTTATGGTCTCATGAAGCAGATTGAATGCATATTTATGTATATTTTGATTTGTTTAAAGTGAGAAGGCAGAAAATACCAAGTTTCTAAAAGTATACATAAGCTTGCTGGGTTTGCATTATCAATTATTTAAACATTTTTATCTTTATTTCCTAGGAATCGGTTGTAGTCTAGTTTATTTACCGGCAGTTACAGTTATCGGACACTGGTTTGAAGAACATCGAGCTTTCATTGTTGGCATTGTGATGTGTGGTGGATGTTTAGGTGCCGGTTTAGTGGCTATTATTACACCGTATTTAGCAGTTAATTTCTCATGGCGTGGTAGTCTCATTCTTATTAGTGGATTGTTTAGTCAAACCTTAGTAAGTTTTAGATTTTTTGTAATGCTCATGAATAATGAAACGTAGTCTTTCTTAGGGTAACGCATACATTTATGAGTATTTAAGGTTTCCTAAACTGACGTATGTTATCACTTTAGAAACATGCAACTTACATACCTATATCCTATATATATATATATATATATATATATATATATATATATATATCGTTCTCCAGCTATTCATTTTACCTAAATGTTTGTTTGTAGAAGATATTTACTTCGGATGAGAACTCCAGACATTTATATCAGGTCTATAGAATAGTGTGGTCTTCATTTAAAAATTTAATGTTTAAAGGGATTTCAATAACTATCGAAATTTAGCTGTCTGCTCCAAAACCTATGCAGTCATTATTTAACTTATGACCCGGAATTAATGGGTATTGACTCAATTCTTCATACTTCATACCAGTGCAGTAAGAGAGAAATATAATATAAAGAAATATCAAAAGCGTTAAAATAATTCTTGGGTTACTGGTTGTGGGGAAGGAAATTCAGGAAGCATACTCTGAAAATATGCGTATGCACTATATAATATAAAATATATGTATCTACTAGTGAAATAAGATTATGAAATAATATTAGATCCTGATATTCGATGAAAGATAAGGAATGAATATATTTTTGACACATTGACCGGTTTCGTACCATACGATTTTAGTTATTTAATCATTAAGCGCAATTGTCACTTTTTGGTCAGACAGAAAGTATGCACCCACCGGTACTTCTAGAACTAACACTTATTAGTCTATGAACTTCTCTTTGACGGATTTACTATGTTTAATTGGTAATCTAAGCAATACCTCAACATTATTCCGTGGTTCCAGTTTGTGCGATAAATGCTTCCAAGACACCTAGCATAGAATTCCAACAACCTAATCATGTCCTCAGTTAATCAGTGGTAAGGAATAATGTTAACCTAAGCTCAATCTATTTACCTTGAAAGACCGGGTAGAAAGTCTTTTGATCAAACTTCAAGTCATATAATCAGTGAACAAAGTTTGGGGGCGCCCTTTAACAATGGATTTCTTCAGAACTATCAGCAACACTTTTGGGATATTTGGTCCCCATATATAACGTATGAGAGGGAACGTCAATCTTAACTTCTCATATCGATTTAGGCTGATTTTCTTCAAGTCAACTTCACTTCAGTTTCATCAATTCTGTTCATTATTTTTCAGAATATTTCAGTTATATTTGCTTACTTATTTCTCAGTCTTCTTTGATCTCGTTCAATAAATCTCAACACGATCCATCTTTCAGAGTAGCTAGACGGTTCTATGAGAGTGGAGCTGTTGGATATGTTGCTTTAACTGTTATTAGAGTTATCGGGGCATATCCTGTTCCTTAATAAGCCCGTAATGTTATCAAGACGCATTGGTTTATCTGATGTAACCACGTTATGAGAACTGTATAAGTCATACTACACATCACATTTTATTTTTATATTCAATTTTTTTGATTTCGTAGTGCATAAAATCGATGCAGAAGATCTACTGGTAGAGTAAATTTAAATTAACGACAAATCAAACCACTAGTAGATGTACATTGTATTTCTAATGACCAACACATTGTGGTTACAAAATATTATTAATGATAGGAACATCTGAAGTGTTTTGTAATGGCTTAACATCTCAATACTACCATTACGTTTGACAACTTGAGGCATATATATGCTTTGTTTTAATACATTAAGGGTTTTTATTTCTTTAAAGAAATGTTTTAAATCTGGTAGGTCTGTATTAGAACTTTACATTTCCATCTCACCATAAATCTTAGGAAATATATATTTCAAGAGTATAAAGTATAGATTATCACGTGGTTCTCTTTATTCAAATTTCCGTCTCATTCATTATTACACCCCACTTTTTTGATTGATCTCAGAAATTAGAATAGATTTTGAGAAAATAAAATAATTTAGAATCATTATGTAACTGATTTGAATCACGGATTGACACCAGCTAACATACCATTGAAAACCAGTGATCACAGGTTAGCCGTCCCATCGTGGTATGAAAATGTCTAACTAAACGCGTACACGACTAATTGAGGATCAAACCTAAGGTTCTCATGTTACACAACGAACCCTTTGAACTTCAGACTACTGTTTTGAAATCCGATGATCGGTAGATAGTGCTACAACCATCCAATGTCATTAGTAAATAACAGTGAAGTTACACTGGTAACGACGTTTTATATTAAGACTTGTAAGGGATCCTTATCTCAAACATATACTAGTAACTGGTTGATTGTATCTTGGTTTAGTTGTTTGTGTAGAATTCGATCTTTGCGACTGGGGTATTGAGTGCGTATCATTGGGTATTTTCACACTGACACAAAGCAACTATTCGGTGATCTCAAGTTGCTGTGACATCTCAAATGATTCCAGTTCTTAACGAATACCACCTACAAATTAAACTAATCTTAGAAATCCCTTCAAACAAATTTAAAGTTGATTTTATCACCCCTAAATAACATTAAAATTGTTAAGTGTTTATTGATTTGATAAATAGTGATTTATCACTGTGCTTTACTTATCTCTTCCAACCTCTTTTTTGATTAAAAAAATATGTTATATTTAACGACAGGTTGGTATAGCGTTATTTCGTCCTGTCAGTGTACATGAAAGAATAAGAGCTATTAGATCATTAAAAGAAGTGGAGAAGAAACAAACCAAACAAAAAAAGTACAAATTGAATTGTTTGCTATCTAGTCATAAGCCAAAACATCATTCTGTAAGGAAAATTGCAATTCAACGGTAGGTGTGCTTCTTTAATTACATTCATATGCTTTGACTCATGTAAAATTAGAATTCATATCTGATATTCAACTTGAAAGAATATCGCTTCTACTTAATTGTTGCCCAACTAAATGTTCATTAATTCATATTGAAGACTTTTTGGAGGTGTTTTATTTGATCATGAACTTCATCGTCTTTCAGACAGACAAGTATAAAGACCATAGAATCTTGTGAGAATGTGTATTGCTTCAAGTTATCACGTTCCATATGAGGAAAGAGTAAAAAGATTCAATGAAAGGGTAAAAATATTGCTGTTAACAGTAAATAAGTAAACATAAGAAAACAGTACAAAAAAGAGCCGAAGAAAGTAATAAATGAAAAGCATGGAATTAAACTATGTTATTGATAGAAACTAATATAGTGCAAATATAGACAGGATGTTTTGCCGGTTTAGAAAGTATATAGAAGAAAGTTAGAAGCAACCGAACCAAGAAGTGATTATCATCCATGATGTCATTGGCTGGTAGACTGAGTTATTTTGGGTGCAGAATACCTTGTTGAAGTCTGGATGATCGTCGTAATCGATGGTCGGCGACTGGGATGACCAGGTTCAGAATTGATTACAGTGGACCAGATGGATTTACTTTTTACATTTCCATTAATCTTAAATTACAAACCTAAGTTTTTTAATCCGTAAATTTATTATATCTTATAGAATATTGTGGGTTATATCTAATTTTTTCCTCCTAATTTCATCTCACTGTCCTGATATGGAGTGGCAACTTGAACCAACCATGCTAAACTCTAATATGTTGATGAATACACTGATAAACTTCATTAAATGTTTATAGAAAACTATCAAGGTCTCGTTTCCCGATCATGAATTTACCTTCTCCATCTATCTTATTACTTCGTCTATTTCTTTATCCTTATTAATACATCACTTAGGTTTTTCGAACACCAACGCATATGCTTTGACGTTACTCCTAAATTTAGCCACATGACTTACAATAAGCTTTTATTTTTATGTTTTAATAAACACTATGTATATATTTGTGTGTTTACGTACGCAGTATCTGTCTTTTGTTGTTAATTGAAGTTTATTTATTGTCTAGAACGGATTTTATGTACTATCTACTGACTGTTGCCTTCGGAAACCTTTTTCCATTGTCTGTCGAAAGCAAACTAAAACTAGATTAAGATTTTAGCCCATTTCACACCTTGTACATATATTGTGCATTATACATTTATTCTAAATGGGATCTTATTCTAGGTGTTGTATAGTACATATAACTTAATTGGATTTGTACATTATTAAAACTAAAGAAAAAATGTAATCAACTCACATATTATTTTCATTCAAGTTTTTTTGTAAGGTGTTAGCGTTTGAATAACAGTCGGTTAGATGATGTAATGATTCAACTTTAACAGTTTCTTTTAATCATAATAGTTAGATAGTACTATTAATTACTGTACAATCTATCTTATTTACAGATTATAATTGGATATTATTTGGTAGAAATTTTCTAAGTAATTTTATTTTCACAACACCAATGTATTTAGATTAATAAATTAGCGTTATCATGAATATTTGACTTGAATCCTTTCTAACATATAAACTATAAACTTTCGATTTTAATTTCAGTGGTTCTATTATGGCTCGTATTATTGAAGAAAAATCACGTCAACGAACTACATCTACTGGCAGTTTAGATGGAATGGTAATAACACGTGAAAATGAACTTGTAGCTCTATCAACTGATGCGTATGAAGTGGTCAAAGCTGCTGCTGTCATTTACAGTGCTAATACTAATAATACTGTATTAATGAATGCTAAACAAAAGGAAGAAGTAGGAATACAAAATAAATTTGAAGAAAATCAATTATCATCATCATTTGAATCAACGTCTTTTGAACAATTAAAGCCTAGTAATAGTATGAATGCGAAGAATAATAGTTTAAGATATTCTCTAGATAATAATCGTAAAAATTTACAAACATTAACTGAAGGATTTCCTATGTCATCATTTGATCAAACAACAGAGAAATTTCAAACAAACTCACAACCTGTAGGTTATTATTTTTTTAATAAAAGTAATCGTATTTTATTTTCTGTCGATTCATTTCTAAAGTCATGTATAAAATAATTGGTTATTACATTTATGCATACAATAATCCGTCTGGTTGACTTAAACATACTGTCTGTATTGCTGTACACGTGAATATACATGCTGTTATTCCATTGAAAAAGTTCAAAATAAAGTTTTTACTTAGAGTTTGGAAATTTTAAAATCAATCTCTGCAAATTTCACTTGTCAACATACAATCAAACTTCAATATTTTTATATTCAAGTGTGTTTAATCATCAGTTTCATCAAATGTTGCATTGTTTTACAATACATACTAACTAATTAAGTCGGAATACTATCAGTAAAATGCATTCATATAGAATCCCTTTCTAGGTTGTACAAATTCACAAGTTTTCCTTCATTTCCTTCATTCAAAGTAATCTTACGTTTTTTATATTTCAGTCAAAATAAGTGATCCATCTTCTTTAGATATTTAGAGGTATTTTTCAGTTTTAGCAATTCTTTCTGTAAATGTCTATCATTGATGAATAATAAGTTCAGAATAACCCTACGATCGTCATGTAGCCAAGTAAATATTACTGAATGAACATAGACCGCCCACCAGCATTCTCCATCCAACTCTGTCCTGGCCAATCCCTTCCAGATGTTTCCAGTTGCTATTCATCCTTTTCATGTCTGCTTCCAATTCCAGATACAATGTGTTCCTTGGCCTTCCTCTTTTCTGTTTCTCTTCAGAATTCCACGTTAGGGCTTGTCTCGTGATGCAGTCTGATGATTTCCTCAATGTGTATCCTTTCCACTTCCAGCATCTTTTCCTAATTTACTCTTAATCTGGAAGCTGATTTTTTCTCCTACAGTAGGCTGTTGCTGATGGTATCTAGTCAACGGAAATTGAGTATCTCGAGTAGACAAGTGTTTATAAATACTTTTACTTTTTGACGACGGTTGTGTTAGTTCTCCATGTTTCTACTGCGTACAATAGAACTGTCTTGACTTTCGTATATAAGATTCTGACTTGGATGTTGCCTGACAGTTGTTTTGAGTTTTTTATGGGCCCTATATCTGACTCCAGTTAGATCGTATTAATATTTGTTATTGAAATATATGTCACCTATCCTCGTATATAATGATTGATTTAAATCACGTTAGTGAATAACGGGATTAAATAAGTCAAATATGAGAATGTACTTCGAATACGTATATTTCATACAATGGTTGATGGGAAAGCGAAGCAAAACAAAACAGCGCGAAATGAAGAAGGCAAGTGAGCCACCTCAATTTAATCAAGCGTGAGTCGATATTTATAGTCAGATGATAATATTACAGAATGTGATGAATAGAATAAGAAGTCCACACATACGACCGTACAAAGAAGTCAGGATTTAGAAGCGAACAATTGACAACCTTAAAATGTAGCTTGAGAAGAATGAATATATTGATCTGTTGAAAGGCTAGAATAAGCTATATGGGCTTGACATAGTACCATATGTTGTTCAAATGTAGGAATGCTGTCCTTGCTTTGCCAACCCTTGTCTTTACATCTGCATCTGATCTTTTACGTTCATCGATGATGCTGCCCAGGTAGGCGAAGTTTTCCACCTCCTCCAAAGTTTCCCAATCAAGTATGATTGGGTTGGTGTTCTCCATTATGTATTTGAGGATCTTGGTTTGACTCTGGTTTTTACTTGCATTGCTTCTGCCAGTTGTCCTCCATGCACTGCTTCGCAGTGTAGTCCATTGCATGAATTCCGTATGATTTTGATTATCTCAGGCACAACATAGGGTCGAAGAAGATTCCATTCTCGTTCCTTACTCCCAGTCCATGTCGTCCGATGAATTCTTCGTACCCGATGTCGTCCATCCCGACTTTGGTCTCCTATCAGAATGATCAGGTTCTTCCCTGAGCACTTCGCTATGATTGATTGCAGCCTCTCGTCGTCGTTGCTATCATTGGTGTGTGCATAACATTCATTGTGATTCCATCCTTTTTTGTTTTGAATGATGCTTCGATGATTCTGAATCCATGAGATTCCAATCCTATAAGTGCATTACGTGCTTCTTTGGATAGCATCAAAGAAACTCCCTTAGTATGTGGAGCATTTTCCTCTTCGTGATCAGAGTACATCAGCATCTCTATCGAATCTGACCCTTTCTACCCAGCTTGTGTCCAATGGGTTTCGCTGATTCCGAGCACCGTCAAGTTGTATCTTCTCATTTACACAGCTGTTTAGTTGGTCCTCCCAATCTCCCACATTTTCCAAACATTCCATGTAACTAAAAATTATTGTTCTTGTTGTTAGAAAGGTATCGGCCTTGTGACTTCCGAAGAATTTAGGCTTCACTCATTTTATAAAACTTCACGATTAGTTCCCTTTAATAGTTTGTTGATAAAACATGAAGAATAATTGACGCAGAATAATGAGAATCCATTTTTATTTCTTGGATTCTTACCTTCCGGTTACAATCATGTTCGTGTTGAATTATAACAATATTAAGTGATAAACATTAATGACCTAAACATTGTTGAGCCGACAGTCTCTGCGTAAGGTCATCAGAGGTTAGATGTAGAAAACATTCAGGGGCGTAGGTAATAATTATGTATAATTTGACAATTGAAACTATTGGTTGCGCGAATAAGTGTCAGATATAGAGAGTTGAATAGCTAAGTGAGTGAGAATTACAGATGAGTGCTAGGTAATGTATAAACCATGATTATGATTAATTTTTCATAGTAGTTATAAATTGGCAATTGTCTCCTTTTGGATATATAAGTTTGGTTTGAGTTTTCTAATAGCTACTGCTTCAGCAAAACGTAAACAATTTGTGTCTTTTTTGTCTGTGAACTATTTTGAAAGATCGGCGAAAATCGATTTTGTAACCGGTATTGACTAAAAATGTTGAACTATTGCACTGTTTGAGGCTGTGCTACCTTTTAGTCTCAAGTTCTTTAGAATGTGCTCAAGATTACAAATATGTATTCTCCTTTCTGTGCTTGCAGTGTATGCATTTTGACGCGTACTTAAAAATTGTAAATTCGGTTGAATATATTGAAAAAAGTCGGTTTTTGTTTGTTCTAGGGAGCCTTGCATTTATTCTGTGGTTAATTAATCCATTAGTTACATCCTATTTGAAGCCAAGTTGTAAGAAACAACAAAATTTCTTCCCAACTTTATCATACTTGACGTATCCAATCATTTTGGCTTACTTATCGACCCACTTTTGTGAAGAAAAGAAACCACAAAATAAAAATAAATTCATATTATTTTGTGTTAATCCCTTATTCAAATAATTAATCATTGAAACTTCATACTATTTATTTTCAAATAACTGTACATATGTTAGTCGACTGAACTCCTGTTTTTTGTTCTGTAACCAGTTAATAAAACTATCTATTTATTGATTCAGTGACGTTAATCCCCATATTTATAACTATAATTCAACAGTCATAATGAAGCATTCTGCAGTCGTTAAAAATTCATATGATCGTTGTGTAGAAATATTTAATAGTTGAAAATAATTAGGATAAAATGAAATGTACAATTACGCTAATTATATATTGGAAATGAATAAATAAATGATTATTTACTTCGTTTTCATTGTACACTCATAATTGTATGCTGCGGTTTCTGTTATGGCTTAAGACCAAACTGTAGCATAAGATTTACAAACAAGGAGAAACAGTTATTCTGATCTGTAGTGCCAGCGCATATTGAAAACATAAACTGAGAATGAATTATTTGTCTACACTAAGTATTCATACCATAACTGCAAAAGCCTTTAAGGAAGATGACAGAGTCCTAGTGGTTGAAGACTCGGACAAGGTGTGGAGTCTTTTGATCGCATTTAGCAACAACGTTGGCACGTCTGGGATACTTTTATCTCCCTTTAAATTCGGAATTTATCTGCGACTCGCGGACTAGTTGTTGGTAGTGAAGTAGATGAATATGTTGGCCACTTAACTTATCTTAGAAGTCTCATCAGCCACAGTGAGTTGGTGTCAAACCAAATCATGGCCTGGATTCAGAAAACCCGATTGGTTTTCGTTATAATTCTCTCTTATTACAACCCAGCTATTCCTGTTGCTTAGTATTCTCGGACATTAATTCACTCGACAAGTCCTCAAATCAGAACACGGCTGACAGGAAAGAGAATATATTTCAGATAACAAGGTTAGATGAAAGTAAGAAGCTTAATAGGAAAAACGTTAGTGTATTCATAGTTTTTACATGAGATTTCTAGTGTTCTCCAAGTATCGGCTAGCGCTGATTGGATGGGAAGTAGCCAGTCAGCGTGCACCAAAGCAATCGTGCATTGAGCATGCTTTAATTCAATCTATGTCCCGCTAACAGTTTTTGACAGCTTGAATTATTTAAAACATAGGTGAAATGTCCATTTCACAAACAAACGGCGTTTATACTACGTAGTAGTCCTTTCTGTTCTAAGTCATTCGTGTGGGACATGGTCTGTGAAAGTAGTTATGGGTAGCTTTAAGGTTTTCAATCAAAGGTGTCTGTGAAACATTGGTTGGGTTTTCGGAATAATTGGGTGAGCTATGTTGAGGCTAAGCATAGTGTATTCAAGAAATTGGTTCAGACGTTGGATGATACGGCTCAGAATCTCTTGCAATCGCTCAGTTTCATTCACTCTATCCTCCTCTCGATCTTGACCTTCAGTATGCCTTCATGCATACTTTTGCTCTCTGTCTTTTCAATTTATATTTCCAAATTTTAGTCTTTACTCGTATCGTCGGTACTGTAATATTCCGGTCTTTTTTTGGTTTTCATTTCGTGTTAATCAGTTATGCAAAATTGAGCCTACGCACATCTGTACTAGGCTCTTTATTGACAATGTCTCAGTTTATTTGTTTAACCTCCCTGGTTCGATTCATGATTAAAAATATAAATGAATAATTTTATTTCTTAAAATAGTATATTTCTTTAATGCGACAATCATCGCATTGAAGCAATTTTATAGTTTTGATGTGTATATATTTTTCAGTTTGCTATGAAAGAATGATTTAAGTATTTAGCCAATCACCTTCCATAAACAAAGTTTTCTTTATTATCATAAGGAGAGCGAAAACAAAGATTGGCGCAGAATAATATGAATTTATTTTATTTCGTTATGTTCTCATCAGCCACCTACAACTTAAAATCAAAGTTATTACATATATTGACATATTTATGAATATGAAGGTGATTAGAGATGCATATGTGTATCATGATTTAGCAAAAATCCAATAAAGTTAAAGAGATGATAAAAACTATATCAGATATTTGAACCTGATTTCTTCTGTTAAAGAAGCGTTAACTAGTTGGATAGAAATGTACTTCTTTGTTTAATTTTTTCTTTATCATTTGAAATATTTCTTGCAGTTTCATTTTGATATCGAATTCACTTGTAATTAAACAAATGGTAATTCTTTTATTTCCTTCTGTGTGTTATTTTAGCCTTGTATTGCAGTACTTCCTCCGCCTGTGCAATTCAGTCGTGCTGCTGTACGACGTATAGCACGTGCAATCTTACGAAAATTACACGGACAAAGTAGACTGCCGTTTTCACCATCAATTACTTCCATATCAACTGGTTCGAGACAAGTTATAGCATCATCTTTTCGATTTAGTGGTGATAATCGTATTGATTCATGTGCAAATTTTAGTACACCATATACAAGTAGTTCACGAAATGTTCATTATGACCGAGTCAGTCAAGTGTATCTATATGATCTATTCCATGGATCAGTAGCTACAAATATATGGAGACGAAAAAGAAGTTTATTCGCCTCCTCTTTGTATAGTGAATTGGCTTCAAACGTTAGAGATTCGGTAGCTTCAACTGCTCCTGTACGCCATTTATCAACGGCAGTGAACCGTTCTATCTCTGCGCAAGAATCTGTATGTATAGTCTTATTGTTTGAGATAATTATTCCCTAAATTTGTAGAATTTCATTCTCGATTTGTTTTATAGAACAATACTTAAATGGAATGTTCACTTACTAGACATTATTTAACCATTGTCATAATGTATGATAAAGATTGCGAATTAGTTGGTAATGTAATTTATTAAAATAATATCTGTTTTGTAAAGCGGTTTGTTGTTTGTTCACTTGGAAGATAGCCTTCATTAGCTTTTTTTTAGCATTCAGATGTGTTCCCGAAGTTCCAACTAGATGTTTTGATTGTTGAGTTTCATCTTGTCGGAGGCAGGATAAGTATAATCAGTGAAATGTTGACCATCCACTTATATCTTTTGTTGACTGTAGTTGGGAATGTGAGCTTCTTGATTTCAGTTTAATGAGTTTAATTGTCTAAATTTTGATATGGTGATGGGTTTTAGTGCAGAATAGGGAAACGTTTCCAGATTAGTTGAAATAACTGTCCAGTGTGCCATGAGTTCAGACAGCTCTTTAGATTATTGTTTGTCCTCGACAAATCCATGAAGTCACTGACAAGTGGACTGAGCCATATAGGTAGGTGTAGACTACCTGGTTGGGATCCGCGAGACGATAGCAACCGATGGTTAGGGACCTTGAATGACATGGCTGAAAATCGTTTGCAATGGCGCAGGTGCATCCACTCTCTGTGTTCTCTCAAACTCTAATCTTCTGAACTCTTCATGTCCTTTATTTTCTTTTCAAATTTATTTCAGTGGATTATACTCCTTGAATAACATCATCAAACTCTAATGTTCCCGATTACTACTTATACTTTCACTACCTCTACTACTACGGGAATTTAATCGATAACTGCATCACTGTGCTAATGTGGTATGGCAACTCGAACTGATGTACGTACGTACGAAGTTCTACGTTGTTACTGACTGACTGACTGAGTCGATTACATAACAGCAAATGTTTACTGCAATAATACTGATTAGTATTATATCATTGTAGTCATTCTTTGATGAAAGAAATGACATGTAACAATGAAAAACGTGGATAAATTAATTTCTCATCTCAGCAAACACTAAGAGTGAAGCAAAATATATCTTAACACAAAATATATAGCATTTAAATTTGTAATAAAAGACTAAAACAATTCCTAATTAGTTTTGCAATCTTTAAGTATATAGAAATATTTTAAGTGAATACTGCTTGTGTTTTCATTATGCTTATAAATATATATATGCATATATATTTTTTATTCCTTTTAAGCATATTCGATTGAAATTATCAACACCTGATTCACCTTCAGCGTTAACATCTTTAATCAGTTTAGATTCTTATACAGGGCATATTATATCACGTGAATTGAATAGTCTTCTGTTAGATCAATCTACTAAACTAGCTATACTGAATGATATACGTCGTGAGTTAAGTCGTCCAAAATATCGTCCAGATTTTTTCTACGCTGGTAATAAACATAAACTTCCCTTGTATCATGTGCCTGAATATACAACATCTAAACAATTACCATGTGATGTAAGTTTACATACATACTTTTTTCGAAACACAGATAATAAATGTTAATACTATTTTATGAATGCACTCTCACTTTTCTCCTTTAATAAGATCCTATGTAATTTTATTGATCTTTTCGTTTTTATCAGATTTTTATGTATAGTTTCTTTTTTAGAAAAAGTAGAGTGAACCAAAGTTCTGTTATAATTCACACGTATGCTGATCGAAATGTTAGAGGGAGAGGAGTTACACAAACTTTTTCTGAACTATTGATTTAGGTTATACAGAAGTAGTTTGTAATAAAACTTTGATTAGCCCGAACTTCCTAAAATATTGCAAAATTTATTTCATATTACATTCGTTTATAGTTTTAATATTTGTCTTTATTATTATGTAACCATAAAAACCATAAAAATCAACCACTTGAATAGTATGACGTTTTTCTTTTTAAACTCGTATGAGAAGTTTCTAATAAGTAGTATCAGACGGTTATAAATTACTTAAGATAGAAATCTCATCTGTATTTTTATACACCAACCGGTTAGTTACACCTTCTTAATACGGTTATATATCCAGTTAATAATTGCAAAGGGTGAGTGTGAGAATTCATTCTGGTTGCCTTTGTCTAAAAGTCCGAAATACAATACATTTTAGTAAGATAGAGTCATTTATATTAGTGATCATCTTACATCTTATAGCGAAGAGTTGAGAATGAGCACCGTAACCATTACTAACTATCATCGGGTGATCATCTTGTGCCCGGAGTATGAATGTTCGTATAGGCTCAGTCGTAATAATGGTAACATAATACTATCGTATCTCGAGATTTTTAATAACAGTCGAAATGACTTCGAGTTTTAAATGACCTTTAAACGCCCTATTACAACAGTTGATTTTTTTGGAAAAAAATATATATATAATATCCAATTAAAAATTTATGCATTTAGTCTTTGTTTCATATGACCTATATTGATGACAGTTTTAAACCAATGAAAAATAGGCTTTATCCAGAACAATTCATATGACTTGTTTTTTGTTTTTTACGACACTCACATACACACAAACTTATTTCATCGAAATTAACAATATTTTGTCGAAATTTTGTTATCTTCGCGTTTATTTTTCTAACGACAGACGACAATCATTCAATTATGTTCGCTTTACTAAGAGATGACACGGAAGTCTGTGAATTCCAGACAATGTTTATTATTGTACTTGGCGAACAACATTTTTCTACTTAGAAAACTAACTTGTATCGTTCCCGACCGTAGCTGCTACCTTGACGTCGTGGTCGGGCTTGCCTATCGTGATTACGCAACCGAGCTATATTGGCTGGAACAAATGTTCCTGCAGGTTCTACCATGCCAGGCAGCAACTCATGGTCTGAGGGCGAAGTCGTACTGCTGACTGTACAGAGGTGTGACAGCAGTAAGGTGTTTCCCTCGGACAACCAGCGTCTGCAGCAATGCTGCCTTCTCACAAGGAAGGAAGGGGTTAGAAAAGGTTGACCCTAAAAATGTCACACCTCACCTTACCCCACGGATTTCCGTCTCCGGCGGTAAGGCCCTTTGAAGGACGGAGCTAACACATTGAAAACTTTCCACAAAAAGGCCGTGCGCGACCGGCCTCAAGTAGTTGTCCCTTGGGCTCTACGGTCACACACCCAGGTCGTTAAGACCAACACTAATCTGATTTCCTTTTCAGATCCCTCAAGAAATACCCTTCCACGGTGTGGGCAGCCGGGAAGTGACATCAGCCCTCATACCCGTAACAACACACGAGACCAAGTTGGTCACATTCAAATCCTTCCTACACCTCCTAATAGCTCTTTTATCTCCACGACTAACCCTTCTCACGTCCCTTTATCACCTCGCCCCACTAGTGCGAACGATTCGAGTACGCGGAACGTTATTCCTGGTCTCCTGAAACCACGCTCTAAGCTACACGTAGGAGCTTTTAACGTCCGAACACTGTGTCAAATAGGACAACAGGCTTTCCTAGCTAGAACTTTAGAATCTCGCTCCATCGATGTGTGCTGCGTCTCTGAAACGCGCACACAGGATCCGAGTAGTGTCATTCATTTGACTGCACCATGTCAAAGTAACGAACCAACTCGATTTACACTTCGTGTATCTGGAAGCCCTGATGCTGCTTCCCGTGGCCTCGCTGGCGTAGGTATAGCATTGAGTCCTAGGGCGGAACTAGCTCTCTAAGACTGGATCCCAGTAGACAGTCGTTTGTGCGCTGTCCGACTAAACGGAACAGTAAGGACTCGGAAAGATAGGGACACTCGTCGTTGCCTCTTCGTCGTCTCTGCCTACTCTCCCACTGACTGCAGCTCAGATAATGTAAAAGATGAGTTTTACAGAAAGCTTTCCGACCTTCTCCGAAAAGCTAGGCGTTCAGATGTAGTAATAGTGGCTGGTGACTTTAATGCTCAAGTAGGTAAACTATGCGAAAGGGAGAGACACCTGGGTGGATCTTATGGTGTCGTGGCTGAAAGAACAGATAACGGCGACCGTCTGTTGCAGCTATGCTCAGAAAACCGCCTTTTTTGTAAATACTAACTTTAAGCATAAGGAAAAACATCTTTTGACATGGCTACCCCCGAATTCGTCCCAACGCTAGACCCAAATAGATCACATCGCTATCAGCCACCGATGGAGGGGCTCGATAGAAGACTGTCGCTCATTCTGGAGCACGTGCTTAGACTCAGATCATGCTCTAGTGCGAGCGCGTATTTGTCTACGCCTTACTGGACGTAGGAAAGATGGTGCAAGGAAACCCCTTAGGGTCCTACTTAATGATAGTCAAGCTAAGAATATATTTCTGGAACAACTAGTAAAACGGTTAGGCAGCCATGTAAGTGATGCCCACCACGAGGCAGCATGGAATGACATCCGAAAAGCTGTAGAAACAGCAGTGATGTCTGCAAGTACGGTAAACCATAAGTTTAGGGAGAAACACTGGATTTCAACAACGTCTACGGCACTGATAGATGCTCGGAAACTCATTCCATCTGGCTCAGAACATAACGAATAGGGGAGTCAGCTTAGGCGTAAACTTACCGGAAGCCTACGCAATGATCGTAAACAATGGTGGGTAGCAAGAGCAAGAGAGATGGAAAAGGCAGTGGCAATAGGTAACAGCAGGCAACTGTTCAGACTTGTTAAAGAAACCGGCATTAGGAACCCAACTGTTAGCGCAACAATCTCAGCGAAAGACGGAAATATTATTCATTCTCAATCCAGGAGATTGGATCGATGGGCAGAACACTTTAGGGATCAGTTCAACTGGACGTAATCCCATCTGACTGGTCTCAATCACTGATTGTGCCAGTCTGTAAGAAAGGACAAAAGTCTTCTTGTGACAATCACAGAATAATTAGTTTGACTAATATAATGTCTAAATTTATGCTTCAATAGTACTTCGACGTCTAACCAAAGTTCGTGAAGAGCAGACTAGAGAAAACCAGGCTGGTTTCCGACCTGGGCGTGGTTGTATAGATCAGATATTCACACTACGTCAGGTCCTAGAACATAGACACACATTCAGACGCCCCACAATTGTAGTATTTCTAGACCTTAAGGTGGCATTTGACTCTGTTGATCGTGAGATTCTATGGCAGTGTTTGTCACTGAAGGGAGTACCAAAGAAGTACATTAACCTTATAAAGGCTCTCTACTCGAACACAACTGGTCGAGTGAGAGCATATGGCGAACTGTCATCAGAATTGATTACCTCAAGTGGTGTTCGTCAGAGCTGTCCACTCTCTCCATTCTTGTTTAACTTTGTCGTTGACGTGCTTTTAGAAATAACACTTTCCTCATCTAAATTTCCAGGAGTTGAACTTTTACCCAAAGACTCACTTGTTGACTTAGAGTATGCCGATGACATAGTTCTATTTGGCGAAGAAGCTGACAAAATGCAGAGTCTACTGACCACTCTAAGCAACAACGCAGGCATGTTCGGCATGCGATTTTCTCCCTCGAAATGCAAAATGTTGCTTCAGGATTGGGTTGCATCGGCACCCGAACTAGTGATAGGGAGTGAAGTGGTTGAGCGTGTCGACCGCTTCACTTATCTTGGAAGTCTCATTAGCCCTTGTGGTCTGGTATGTGACGAAATCTCAGCAAGGATACAGAAGGCTCGACTAGCTTTTGCCAACTTGCGTCATTTGTGGCGTAGGCGAGATATCCGTCTATCAACCAAAGGACGAGTTTACTGCGCAGCCGTTCGTTCCGTCTTACTTTATGGCAGTGAAACATGGCCGGTAAGAGTAGGGGATATTCGTAGGTTACTAGTATTTGACCATAGATGTCTTCGAAACATTGCTCTTATATCCTGGGACTACTGAGTAAGCAGCTCAGTTGTTAGGAAACGGGTACTAGGCAAGGATGACAAATAAATTAATGAAGTAGTGAAACTTAATCAGTTGAGATGGCTGGGACACGTGTTACACATGCCCGAACACCGAATGCCCCGACGTGCGATGTTTCATGGTGTAGTATTAGGTTGGAAGAAAGCTAGGGGTGGCCAGACCGAAACATGGCACAAATCCATGAAGTCACTGACAAGTGGACTGAGCCATATAGGTAGGTGTAGACTACCTGGTTGGGATCCGCGAGACGATAGCAACCGATGGTTAGGGACCTTGAATGACATGGCTGAAAATCGTTTGCAATGGCGCAGGTGCATCCACTCTCTGTGTTCTCTCAAACTCTAATCTTCTGAACTCTTCATGTCCTTTATTTTCTTTTCAAATTTATTTCAGTGGATTATACTCCTTGAATAACATCATCAAACTCTAATGTTCCCGATTACTACTTATACTTTCACTACCTCTACTACTACGGGAATTTAATCGATAACTGCATCACTGTGCTAATGTGGTATGGCAACTCGAACTGATGTACGTACGTACGAAGTTCTACGTTGTTACTGACTGACTGACTGAACTTGTATCGTTCTCCCTCATGCTTCTTCCGGTACAGAAAAATACTGTAATTCTCAGATCTCTCAAATCAGATGTTACATAAAGTATGGTCGATAAAATGATGTTCATCTTATAGCAAGAAGTACATGAAGGTTGTTGTATCAATCTTTCATACCATTGTAACACTAATTAAAAAAACAACAATAAATTGGGACATTGAAATAAGTTCTTATTCATATGTTCAACGAATCAATTGATTGCACTATCAAAAAATCGATCATATGAAACAAATAACATAAAATCTAGTTCATCGTTCACTTCAAAGTCTTTATGTTACTCCTCGAAAGAATCGTCATTATTAATCAATCACTAGCACTAGACAAAACAATAATCTACAGAAAACGTTTTGCTGTTTGATTAATAAACACTAAACATTAACATATATAGCACTAAATATAATCTAAAAATTATAATGTTGAATTACTTACTTAATTACTTTCGCCTGTTTCTCCTCGTGAAGGAGCATAGGCCGCTTACCAGCATTCTCCATCCAACCCTGTCCTGGGCAATCCTTTCCAGTTCTTATTCATCCCTTTCATATGCGCTTCTATTTCCCGACGTAATGTGTTCTTTGGCCTTCCTCTTTTCCGCTTCCCTTCAGGATTCCAAGTTAACGCTTGCCTCGTAATGCAGTTTGATGATTTCCTCAATGTATATCCTATCGATTTCCATCGTCTTTTCCTAATTTCCTCTTCCGCTGGAAGCTGGTTTGATCTCTCCCACAAAAATCTGTTGCTGATGGTATTCGGCCAATGGATGTTGAGTATCTTGCGTAGACAGCTATTGATAAATACTTGTACCCTCTTGATGGTGGTTGTTGTAGTTCTCCACGTTTCAGCTCCTAACAGTAGAACTGTCTTGACGTTCGTATTAAAGATTCTGACTTTGATATTGGTTGAAAGTTGTTTTGAGTTTCATATGTTCTTTAATTGAAGGAATGCTGTCCTTGCTTTGCCAATCCTCGCCTTGACGTCTGCATCTGAACCTCCTTTTTTGTCGACAATGCTTCCCAGGTATGTGAAGGATTCCACATCTTCCAGAGTTTCGCCATCAAGAGTGATTGGATTGCTGTTCTCCGTGTTGTGTTTGAGGACCTTGGTTTTCCCTTTGTGTATGTTGAGGCCTACTGATGCAGAGACTGCTGCTATGTTGACTGTCTTTGTCTGCATTTGTTCGTGTGGGCTAGGTCATCTGCGAAGTCCGAATCGTCCAATTGATTCTGAGCTGTCCATTGTATGCCGTGTTTTCCCTCAGATGTCGAAGTCTTCATAATCCAGTCGACCAGCAGAAGAAACAGGAAGGGAGAGAGTAAACAGCCTTGTCTTACTCCGGTCCTTACTTGGAATGCGTCTGTCAGCTGTCTTCCATGCACTACTTTGCAATGTAGTCCATCGTATGAGTTCCGGATAATGTTGACAATCTTCTCAGGAACTCCGTAGTGTCAAATGCCTTCTCATAATCAATGAAGTTGATGTAGAGTGACGAGTTCCACTCAATTGATTGTTCGACGATGATCCGTAGTGTCGCAATCTGGTCTGTGCACGACCGGTCCTTACGGAATCCAGCTTGTTGATCTCGAAGTTGAGCGTCAACTGCGTCTTTCATCCTGTTCAGTAACACTCTGTTGAAGACTTTACCCGGTATTGACAGTAGTGTAATGCCTCTGTAATTTTCATACTTGCTCAGGTCTCCTTTTTTGGAATCTCGATGAGGTGTCCTTCCTTTCAGTCCATCGGCACTTGTTCCTCTTCCCAAATCTTCTTGAATAGAAGATGAAGCATGTTTGTAGTTACTTCGATGTCTGACTTCAGTGCTTCAGCTGGTATATTGTCGGGTCCTGCTGCTTTCCCGCTCTTGATTTGTCTGATGGCCATTCTGATTTCTTCCGTCGTTGGTGGATCGACATCTATAGGAGGATCTGTGTGTGCTGCTTCTATGTTCGGTGGATTCATTGGAGCCGGCCTGTTCAGGAGTTCCTCGAAGTATTCTGCCCATCTGTTCCGCTGTTGCTGAATCTCAGTGATTGGTCTTCCTTCTTTGTCTTTGACTGGTCTCTCTGGTTTACTATATTTCCCTGCTAGCTTCTTCGTTGTATCATAAAGCTGTTTCATATTTCCTTCTCTTGCAGCTTTTTCCGCCGTCGTTGCAAGTTCTTCCACGTATTTCTGCTTGTCGGCTCTAATGCTCTTCTTCACTTGCTTGTTTGCTTCTGTATATTCAGCTTGTGCTTGGACTTTCTCTGCTCGTGTTCGACTATTGTTAATTGCTGTCTTCTTGTTCTTCCTTTCTTTGATCCTGTCCAGTGTTTCTATTGAGATCCATTCCTTTTGATGATGCTTCTTGGGGCCAAGAATTTCTTGACACGTTGAAGTTAATGCTTCTTTAATACCTTTCCAGTTATCCTCCATAGTAGTTTCTTCTTCCTTCAGTAGATCCTGTAAGGCTTGGAACCTGTTGTTGAGAGCTACCTTGAATTCATTGAGTTTGTCGGTATCTCGAAGGAAGGCTGTATTGAACCTTTGTGGTGCTGCTTGTCTAGTTGTCCAGTTCTTCTTTAGCTTCAGTTTTAAATTGGCCACAACCAGGTGGTGATCTGAAGCTATGTCCGCTCCTCTCCTGGTTATCACATCTTCCATTGTCCTTCGGAGCTTTTTATTGATGCAAATATGATCTATCTGATCCTCTGTGGTGTGGTCCGGTGAGATCCATGTAGCTTTGTGTATATGTTTGTGTGGAAATATTATGCCGCCTATGACCAATTTGTTGAATGCACACAGATTTACAAATCTTTCCCCGTTTTCGTTCCTCTCTCCCAGTCTATGGAGTCCCATGATATCTTCATATCCGGTGTGTTCTATTCCGACTTTGGCGTTGAGATCTCCCATCAGAATGGTGAGATCTTTTCTTGAGCACTTCTCTATGATTTATTGCAGCCTCTCATAGAATTGATCTTTAACGTCGTCGTTGCTATCATTGGTGGGTGCATAACATTGGATAATGTTCATTGTGATCCCCTCCTTCTTTGTTTTGAATGATGCTTTGATGATTGTGGATCCGTGAGATTCCCATCCTACAAGTGCATTTCGTGCTACTTTGGACAGCATTAGAGCAACTCCCTGAGTGTGTAGAGCGTTTTCCTCTTCGTGACCGGAGTATAGCAGCATCTCTCCCGTATTTAGCCTTTGTTGTCCAGCTTGGGTCCAATGGGTTTCGCTGATTCCCAGTACTGCCAAGTTGTATCTCCTCATTTCCGTTGCTATTTGACTGGTCTTCCCGTTCTCCCACATTGTCCGGACGTTCCATGTACCTATAAAAATTGTTGCTCTGGTTGTTAGAAGGGACATCGGCCTCGTGGCTTCCGAAAGAACTCGGCTTTCACCCTGAGGCGTCATATTCCTTCTAACTCCCAGGGTAGAGTTAAAATGGTTTGAGTTATTTTTTCTGGTTAGCGTTTTTTTTAGCGAGTTAGTTTTCTACGGGATGGGCACGCTAACCCCATGCTCAACCCTCCTCCTTTACCCGGGCTTGGGACCGGCAGTAACTCTAGGAGAGCTACAGGCGGAGTTAATGTCGAATTGTATTTGATTAATATGCTAATACATAAGATTGTTTACTACTTGTCAAGTTTGACGCAGTTTCTTATACTATAACTCCTGTTTTTTGTACTTTCTGCTATCAAGCTTAATAGGCATGAAAATTTGTCTCACAATAAAATTAGTAGTCTTGTTTTTTGTATCCACTATTTCGTTTTTTTACCAACCTGCTAACTGTATTTGATTTGTTCTTTTGTCCAATTTATTAATCTTTTTTTTCGATACAGGCAAATTATGCTTTAAAAGAGTTAACAATTCAATCACATAATTCCACTGTAAATCAATGTCCAAATCTATTTAAAGGTGTTATTCCTGTAGAGAATATCATCTTAACTCGAAATAAATCACTTACACATGATAATCAAAAATTTGATATACTTACCCATTCATCAAAACAAAATAAGAGTATTTCTAATCTTCAAAAATTTATTACTTCACCAAAAATCAATGAATTATTCTCCTATCTTGCAGATATGTTAGATAATCAAATACTTAAAAGTTTTACATTCATTGTTCTTTCAATTGCCTGTTTTGTAAATATGTTAGGTAAGAGTGAATTTTGGATTTTTCAGTTTTTTTTTTTAAAATAATGATAAAGCTAATATTTTATTTAATTAGTTATTGATATGTATATAGCAGATAATTTCAAGTGTACTTAGTTTTTCTAATTGATTGTAATAAATAACAAGTACATTCTGGGTCCTGTGATTAAGTTTCTGTTTTTTTTTTGAGACAGTAATGTATAAAATACTGAAGTTATTTAATTGTATTTTATCCTCTTGTCAACTTGAGTCAGTATGGTCATTTAAAGAAAATCGTAAAGAAGATTTGGTTCTAGTTGATTATCAAAGTTTGTTGAATATATCATTTATGTTTCAAAAAAAAGTTTGATTTCTAAAAGAAATATCATCCAATATCATGATTATGAGTTAGACTTCATTTATTAATTAACTATCCATTAATTGAATATTAGAATTTATTGTGAATTTATATGGTAGAAATAATTTTATTACCTTCGTCTCTGTGTTAGAATAAGTTAATATTTGCGATGGTTACTATAGGAATAACTTGCCCCCAAATGCCCTGGTATGGCCGAGAGTGGGGAGAGTCCGCTCCCCCTCTCGAAATGCTCTCATATGGCCACGCGTATACAGCCCCTGCCAGGGAAGTCCTACTCACTGCCTTCTCGTGGCGGGGGTGTTGTTTACGAAAATGAGAGGACGAAAAGCGAATTTCCGGCGCTTTAACCGGATCCCAAACCAATGGTGCACATGGGCTCCAGTATCCTGCCTGTGGGAACAAATGGCGCATGAACCAATCGTTGGTCACCGGCTACCATGGGACTGCATCTCCTCACGATGCTCCACTGCCTTGTGGATCAGATCTTCAGGTCAAAGGCTCGGGGTGTGGCCCCCTAAGGAAACCACCTGCTTCGGTTTGGGCACCCGGGCAGTATCACAGCCCTCACACATATCAAATGAGATATGTGTGGCGCATATGTATTTGGTGCCTTCTTGTACCGATATCTATGTGTTAAAATAAATAAATAAATAGGAATAACTTAATTGTATGTGATGAATACCTCTTTTTAATGTAAATAAATTACATATATTTTTATTCTCGTGCATGCTAATTATATTTATCAAGTGTTCATTTATTCTAGCTAGAGAATGCGAACTAATAATCATATTTTCCATCCAGGCAATTTATCTGTGTACTGTTAAAGATAATACTTCATCGTAAAAAGAATTTCTTAATAACCGAAAAATATGCGACTGATCTTGCAATCTCTTTTTTGACAAAAGAATACCCATGAATCATTAAAAAGTGGATGATTGAAATAAATTCAGTGGTTGTAAAAAATGTTTACTAACTATATACCATTAGGTTTGGTGCTCTTTAGCACAATCTTTCTGTACCATCCAATATGCGAGCTTTGCTTTTGATATTGTTAATAAATTTACTGCATTTGAATCATAAATAATAAAGTACAAAGCATGATGCTTCTTGATAAAATCTATTATTCTCTTTAAGTTGGATGGATTTCTCTAAGACAAGTATAAATCTGAGATAAACCCAGTTTCTGAACTCGCTTTTAATCTGTGGTGAACATCTAATAATGCAACTCAGTAAATGAGTACAGATTTAAGTATAGGTCTTTAGTTTACAATTCCTACTTGAGTAGTGGAGATGCTACTAGGCTATTGAAAATACGATCAGTATAAGGTAGTATTAATGTTTCAATTAGTGACAAGATATTGAATACTTTAACCAATAGATCACTAATCTAATCATATCCTAAAATATCCTGTGTAGTTGCATATCTTGTTTTATTCATTTATTAATAAATTGAAATGCCATATTTACTATTTGATGATCGATTTCCTTGCTAGTTTAAAGAATCAGTGACTTTGACGTCCACAGTTACAATTTACATGTTTGAAAGGAGTTACATTTTTTAAAATTCCAACTTCTTTTTTCTCATTCTATTTTCTTTTCTATTTCTTCCTCCTTGTTACAGTTTTTTTAGTTCCATTTCACTACCTTCCACTTTTATTGGATTACGGTGGTCTTGAATGTTATTTTAATTCATTTTGGTGTCCGAATGGATTGACCGATGAGATTAAATATAACAGAACATCTAATCAATTTGACCAATCAACTGTTAGATATATCAACGCTTTAAAGAGAAACTATGCATTTCCTAGTTCAGAATCCCTTTTTTTAACGATCGGTTGTGCTAGTATTCTTGGTCGTTTATTTGCAGGTGAATCATATATTTTTCTGATTGCAAATGTATTTGATTGTTTTAAACACGCTGACAAATTCATTTAATGATATTAATAATATTAGTATTAAAATGTGAAACGTTGCATAATAGCGGGGGTTGTTTAATTCCATATACCTTAGGAGTTCCATTTACCATGGTAGATTAGACGCTAATAATGTCCTAACATATTTACAAAGCTTATTTGTTTTATACCATCAGTGACGCAGGCAAGATATTAATCAAATTATTCAATTTTTCTCAGTGGTTCATTCGGAATTTTCGAGTGAGTAGAAAAAAATTAATTTGCCAAGAGTAAGCTAGAATTATTTTGTGTAACAAATTTCCTTTACCTTTCATTTGGATAACATTAAAAACAATATAGAAAGATGTTTCAAGTTTTCTATTTCTCTATGTTATGGAGCACATTCCTGATCCTCTTTAATCTAAATTTATTAAATTTTTGTGTATAATTATTACATCTGTCTATTTCTGTCCATTATTGATTAATTGAGTTTTTTTGTTTGGGAAAAAGGACGGTTTATGTTTAATAGTAACAATTCTCTAGATGATTTTAAGAAGTTAGATTAATTCAAATGCTTTCTTTTGATTTTGCATAAACTTCAAAGGATAGGATAACGCTAAAATCTGTGTAGTTTGAACATCACTGAAAAATTTTTTAGAGATAATTGTTCATTATCCTGTATTTCTATTCTATATTCATTTTGAAAAGATTAGGTTCCAAGTGTGTAATGAGTGATATAGAAGTAAATGGTATTGTATAATTAAGTGACACATTTATTAACCGAACTCATAAGAAACAATGAAAAACAATGACTTAAGTTAATACCATGGTATTCTGGCGACTGGGATTAGCTGAGTAATCATCGGTAGTTCGATTTTAATCATTGGGTTTCATGTTCAAGTATTTATTTGTTACCTAATAGTCCTGATTCGTTATCACTTAATTATTCATTAGAAAAATATTTTCATAAATATAATTTTCCCTCATCTTCCTCAAAATATTGGATACATATTATTTTACCCATAACTATTTGCTCCTCATTAATCTTTTTTATTTTTATTATTCATTCACATAAACCTGCTATTCGTGTCTCTGTACTATTTTATGATAACTGATGATTCTTCCTTATTTGTTATCTATATATCTTTTATCAGATGAATTTATTTTAATCATACCCAACTGCTCCATGTTTTTTTCATACTTATAAGTATCTTTTTTTTCATAAGTATATTTTGTTTACATTGGTTTGAGATGAAGTATGCATAAATTATCGTACACAAGCTTTCAAAATATGCATTTTCACTAATCAATACTCAGGGGACGATTTTCTGTACAACATCATTAGTGTTTATTACAATTTAGTTTTCGTTTTTTTGTTTTCTCATACTGAGCTACATTTCAAGCGTAAAATTGAATTTAGTTTCAAGTTATGGATCAGTTTATTATAATTTTTCCTATACATGAAGCATAAATTATGTTTAAGATTTGGTGTAGTGTATTGAAAGAAAAATAACTTGTCATTATACTGCAAACAGGTGTGCTGGTTAATTCTTGTAAACTACACTTATACACAGAGATGTCTTTTTATTACTGACATAAGACAATGATCTGTAAATGAAATATTCAAATTAGTTTCTTTGCCTTAGATTAATTGGTTCTCTCAATACACCAAACAATTATTAATTGTAATTAAATACTAGGCTGGCAAACTTTTACATTATGCATTCTTTCAAAATATTTTGTAGCTGTCATTAAATAGACGTCTATTCTTTAACATACTGGTCATAATAACATATCATTTTCGTAAAATATTTTGAAAGGATTTTTGGTGGTTGTGCAATAACTAGACTGAGCTGATTGATATCAAACGATAGAAATTACTGTGTTACTAATTTAGATGGTTATATTGATAAAGGATATTCCGTATGATATGGTCTTAAGTTACTTTTAAAATAATGATGTTGTAATTCTGACTGTTACTTAATAACGTTGGAAATTGATCATCCAATGTCAAGAGTCAACTGAAATCGGAAAATGCAGGGCATTCGATTCTTACCTAGTGTTTATTTAACTCCACGATCTCAGATTAACGATTCTGCATTAGATCTGATGTTATGTAGTCGGTCGATACTGTTGAGGAGTTCCAAATAACAATCGAATACTTTTTGGTTTTCAACAATTTTGCAGTTGATCTTAGCCTGCATCAAAAACCCTTAAATTATGCAAGTCTCTATAATCGAAGGCTACTGGTCTGATGAAACTGAAGACAAAAAAATAATTAATAAGACCTTACTACTTAATATGACGTTATAATACATACTTTCATATTGCTATCTGATGAATAAAGTTTTAGGGAATGCGAGAGGTAATTTCTTTTCTAATTGGTTGATTTCTGTTGAATTTGTTTCAACCTTAATTACTGTCCACTCGAACATCTGTTAGTATATGATTTGTAATGTGAATGTTTTAGTAGATTAATAATTATTATATATCTTTCCGTATACAGGATTGTATATTGAAAAGGGTTTGAATACAAATCGAAAATTTTTGTGTCGATTTCCTCTAATGATAGATCCTATGCTCCTGAACAATTTCGCTTTAATTGTTTGTGGACTTTCAGTTATCTCATTTCCATTAGCAATTCATGGTATTCTGTTGACAAAACATTCGGACCAGTCTTCGTCTCAACGCCTTCTACAAGCATGGTCTTTAAAGTTTCGGCGTCATTTGTTATATCTCGGTAGTATAGTGTATGGTTTAACTAATAGTAAGTTATATTATTGTATCGTTGTTTGATTACAATTGACTCACTAAAAAATTCTTATTTGTGTAATTGTCATTTCTATAAGTTCATTTCATCATAGTGGAAAAATAAGTTCAATTGAATACTTAAGTTTTTGGGCTATTCCTACCATTAATTACACAATTATTCCCACCTAAAACATCCGAAAATCATTTAAAATCTAACTTCTTTTAGCTGATTATGTTTACTGGATAATAGTTTCATATGTTACAATTTGTCGTTGTTCCACTTACCATTTTTATACTAAACTATTACTTACTTATGCCTGTTACCCCTCATGGAGGAACATAAGCCACCGACCAGTATTCCCCATCCAACTCTGTCCTGGCCAATCCCTTCCAGATGTTTCCAGTTGCTATTCATCCTTTTCATGTCTGCTTCCAATTCCAGATACAATGTGTTCCTTGGCCTTCCTCTTTTCTGTTTCTCTTCAGAATTCCACGTTAGGGCTTGTCTCGTGATGCAGTTTGATGATTTCCTCAATGTGTATCCTTTCCACTTCCAGCATCTTTTCCTAATTTACTCTTAATCTGGAAGCTGATTTTTTCTCCTACAGTAGGCTGTTGCTGATGGTATCTAGTCAACGGAAATTGAGTATCTCGAGTAGACAAGTGTTTATAAATACTTTTACTTTTTGACGACGGTTGTGTTAGTTCTCCATGTTTCTACTGCGTACAATAGAACTGTCTTGACTTTCGTATTTAAGATTCTGACTTGGATGTTGCCTGACAGTTGTTTTGAGTCCCATATGTTCTTCAATTGTAGAAATGCTGCCCTTGTTACCCTTGTCAATCCGTGCCCTCACATCTGCATCAAATCCTCCTTGTTCATCAAGGTTGCTGACCAGATACGTGAAAGTTTCCATCGGTTCCAGAGCTTCTCCAGGGCAACAATTGATATAGGTACTAAACGTTATATATGTGTTATGAGATTTTGGATAACGTAACGTCATTTTGTCTATAATTCTGGGTAGATTTTAATGCGTAAATTTTCCTTATGCTAAGTATCAAATTAACTCGTTGATGTACTTTACTTTCATTTTGGTGTCAGGACTTAATTTACTACTAATCAACAGTATAGTTTCATTTTTCAAAGCTGTGATCAATTCTGTGAGTTTTAGAAAGATAGTCTACCTTATTGATGTCAACGTTAGATTTCTCATTTTATGTAAAAATGACTGTTTGCTTATTTGTTTGTTGCTTAGGAGCCTCCGAGGACTATCTCGCCAGAACAGGTCAGAAAAACATTTCTTGCAAACAATATCTAATAGAAAAATGTTTGAGACTTCTAGGAAACCAAAGGATTACATGTCCCACTCTAATTAAATAATTACCTATTGTGCTATTAAATTTAGTTCACGTGCTGATATGATAACCTCAGACAGTTGTGATTTACTTGTTCAATAATTTTGTTGTTTTAGTGATCGTCTGATATGCATTATTTTTATAACTAAACTTTGTTATAATTTGATCTCCACTGAGAAATATTTCTGACGTTACATCACTTATCCGGCTCTGTATGTTTGTTTTGTATTATTTGCCATTTTTGATCTTTTTTTCATTTTCAGCTATATCAATTTCTTTACGAAGTGTTATTCTTGTTGAGTTATTTGGTCTTCATCGTCTGACAAACGCATTTGGATATTTACTTATTTTCCAAGGTCTTGGAGTAATTTGTGGACCTCCATTATTCGGTAAATAATGTTCTTATTTTCCTATTGTCTTTCATGTTCATGAAGAGCAGATGTACGGTTTATGCTCATTTATATCAGCACAAAGTAAATGATTAAAATATAGTTTGGTTCATTCTTATGGAATAGTTTTTAACATATACAAAAAATAATTGTGAAAATCAGTTGTGTTTGTCGTTGAATGCTTAGCAAAAATTAGGTAACAGTCTCACACTTATTCCTTTCTCTTACTTATATATGGAACTAAATTCCAATATACTTACGTTGAGCGCTCTTCCAACTAAACTTTTTTTACTTTAATGGTTGTCGACGGCAATGCTGAACGACCTATAAAACGTTTCTGTAAAAAAACATTATTTAATTTACATAAATAAATGTTGTAGCTTATAGTCATTTTCTTTGTCTTAGTGTGAATTTTAAAGAATTGAATGTACTGGTATCTTTCTTTATTGATCTAATTATCACTAGCTTTCTCATGGTCTAGTGCACTAAAGGAAACATATTTTTATTACATGTGAACAATATTCACTTTTTCCTTATAGAACCTTAAAGATCGAACGCTACGATTGTTATTAAATATCGTCTTGTGAAATGTTCAGTACTTTTTCCTTCTCAATGGTTATATAAATAGTGTTTCGTTACCCCTACTATATTTACATACACTCAGTATTCTTCAAGCTTTATGATACTAATTCATTTCTTGTTATATCCCAGATTCTAAAATCTCTTCCTAGTGTCTTCTCATATTTTTGAACTAATTATTCAAAAACAACATATTTTCTACTATGTATATATTACTTTACACTATTACCTTGATTGAAATGACGTTTGTTTAAAAGATCATTTCTATGCGTATCAGTTCATCAGTAATTTCCTGAGATGGGAAAATAACCTCGATTACTACCACTATTATTTTCACAATATTTTAACTGTCATCTAAACAAATGATCACTTAATATACCAGATTAATGGCTTTATCTACTTCGACTGTGGGACAATGAATGGTTAAAGAAAACTTACCTTCCAGTCAGCTTGTTGATGGAACCTTTCTCCTATCATAAATGTAGCGCTGATGAGCATCACTAGTCACCATCTCACAATGAACAGTATGATGCAAAACTGATTGCATAAAATCATCTGTTCTTGATGAATGAGTTACATTATATATTTTAACTTATCTACTTCGATTCGACCATTCAGATAATATTATTATTACTGTTTACTGTCACACATGAAATTGTAGCTGATTAACATACTCTAACTGTCGATACATATTTGAATAGCTAGACATTATGACCTTTTATGTGAATATGTTTACTAATTGGTAAAATTAATCATAAAAACAAAGGGGTTACAATATAAGTATATTCGTACACATACATGTTGTTTATAAGTGAACTATCTAAAAATAAACATTTATTTGGTAATTTTGACTAGGTTCATTAAAAAAAAATTGTATCTACAAGTTTATGGTTTGTTAATCTTCGCCGAGATTTTATTTACTAATGATTTTAAAAAAATAAATTCGGAATTTTTCGTTATTATTCTGATAGGTTGTTATAACAGAACGAATATTTTGGAAAGTTGGAACTTTCGGAACTATTTTTCGAATTACAATCATCTGCATTTTTGTTGTATAGTTAGTAGATAATTGTATTGTAAAATCTCTATATATTTCAGCAAACCTATCAATTATCTTTAGATGATCTACTGTACTCTAGTTATTGCTAATTAATAGTGTACTGCTTGCTACATTCTCTACCATTTATGGTACGATTGTTTAAAGTATGACTTCTTATTTGATGTACTGTGTAGCCAGTCATCTTATGTATAATATCGTATTCCTTTTAAGTCATGATTGAATTGAGTACAATCAAAAATTAATTTGCCACTTATCTGCGTTTTCTGACTGGCTACTGGGTTGAAAGGAGCTCGATGACCCATAGACGTTAAGATCCTGTGTGTTATTCATTGACCAATGAGTCAAATTATACTGTAAGTGTCACAGGTTCTTCTGGCTATATAGGTGAATTAACTGATGGTCGGAATCTTGATTTAGCAATAAAACACGTGGTATCGATCAACGATTCGAAGCCATGACAGCTGTTTCGTTTTTTTTTCGACTTTAATTATCCAACTAGGTGTTATTTTTTCACAATGCTAAACTTGTTGTTTATTAACTTTATCTCACTTGACCCACGTTATATCACCCTATGACTGTGTAGACATATTATTATGCATTTTGTTTTATTTAATATAGCGTAAACAAAACATGTTTATTCTGTTGTATTGTGTATTTCCAAATGTCATGAAGAAATTAACATAATATTTTTTCAGACAGTGTAATCGAGTATTTCCAATAAAAAAGTGCATTCCTACAATTTTTTGAATCGATATTTTGTCTATAGGAGGTATTTCTGTCAATCGGATGTATGAAAACTATATTCATGATAGTAAGGTTTTAATCGGTTATCATCTAATAATTAGTCATTTATCAAGTACTGATATTGCAAGTTACCGGCGTGTGAATAAAATTGACACAGTTATTTTCATTATAGACTGCATTTTATAGAATGAACATGTTTTTTTAATGGAACAATTTCCTATTCATAATCATCAACAAACGTGGACAACAAGACTCAAATTAGAGAAAATACGGACAGATAATTGTAAAATTTCGTTTAGGACATGCATTACATGCTTAACATGATATTTTTCTAAACCATTCTCCTTCCTAATTAATTTTATACTGTGTCACACCTATCATTCCTTATCAATTATTCTAGATAATAAATCTCAGCCATCTTACCCGTGCTAATTATTCTTTTTTGTCCTTTTCTTCTCCATTTTTATACTTAGGTCTTTTTTTGGATCAAGCTTGTCATGGATGTTTAGATAGTCCTCCATTCTGTGAATCTATTCCAATACAGTTTACATCAACCAGTCATAAAGAATGTACAATACGTTTAATATTATCTTTTTATATTTGTGCAGGGTTACTCATTTTGTCAAGTATATTATTTATGCCACTTCGTTGGTTGGCCCAACATGATCCATATCGTAATGCACATATGTTACAGTCATCAATAAACATTTTAAGTAATACACCTCAATTGGATGAAGATATTTCATTTTCACTTGGATTAGGTCAAGGTGAAGTATATGATCCTCAAGAAACACAGACTACGCATGTACTGGTAAGATTTATATTGTTGGTACTTTGAAGTGTTGTCTATCTCCATGAATAAATACAGTATTTCATTGTCTTCTTATGAGTTATTATTGTTGTTTAAAACTATTAGGTGAATCCTCTCTAAACGGAATTCACTCAGAATTGTTGTCTTTGGCAAATATTATATATTAGCTTTTAGTTATTCGAATAGTCACATAAAATTAGGTATAAAGTAAAACTTTAATTCTACATTTTTTTATTCGTCACATTTCTACTACTTATCAGCTGATTAAAAGTCACTTAACGTAGTTTTCGTGTCAGGTACTAAACAGTGAATACGATTTTAAAATGCTGTTAATAAAAATTGTGTATATAAAGCTTATAACCTTTTGTTAAATGACTAGTATCAAATGTAACTTAATCGAATGATGCAAATCGTAAAGTTATTTTATTTTTTCAGTCTGTCTTCAGCACGTTTTCATGATTTCATTGTATTCTTGTTCTTTTTTACATCCGTCTCTTGTATCATTCCATAGAAAAATGGATTAGAAATGAATGTTCTTTTTTTTTAAAGCAAAAGGTATTTATAACCAACCTTTATTTCATATTTCATAATGGCCAACGACGCATATATTTATATATCATGCGTTAAAATAAAAAGTGATTTGTAACATATGACAAACTATTGGTTTGTATTACTGGCAAATATTTGCCAGCTGATTGTACAGTGACATTTGCACATATTACTATTATTATTATTGTGCTTATAAGCATAAATGTGATTTGACCTATGACAGAAAATCACATTTTTCTATTTCCTCAATGTACAGTCAAATGACTTCAAGGTATCTGTCCCCTTAATCGATTTCACTTTCAGTGTTTTATTATTTTTTGGACCGATATAAATTTATGATTAGAACAAATTTTTAAAAATTAATGATTTAATTAAGAAAAAAATAGGTCAGTTGTTTTTGGTAAATTTTTATATACAAATAAAAACTTTTTAAATGTTAGAACTGAGCATTTTATCATGATTTAATCATGTTTTATTGTTATTATTTATCTTCAGTAAGATTTGTAGACAAATAAACTTGATACATTAAAAATAAACAAGCAAACTATGTACATGAATATGCTTACTTAAATTATAATTATTTGTGTCATAGTGCTGGTCAATTTTTATGTATCTCTAATAAATACTGTAATCAAATAGGGTGAAATCCTGTTTATATTATGTGTGTGTGTATTTAATTTTTTTTTATGGGAAGTTAGACAAACTAATAATTTAGTATGATGTAATAAAAAATTTGAAATATGAAAAAAATTATAGAACAAATGGAATGCAAGTGGATAGTAAATCGAGCTGCTTCAGGAAGATATAAATATTTTGTTACATCAGGGTAACGAAGACATAAGTAACAGAAAAATAGGAATATCACATCAATTTACTGTCTTTAATTTCAAATCATATATGATAGAGTTTTAATCTAGTACCAAGATACACCAATATTTACTAACTGAATGTAATTTTGGTATATTCACCGAAAAGAGAACTCTTTGTTATACCAATATTCCTTACTTTAAGCTCAGTGATAATACGTATGATTGAAACGGATTATAATTAAAATAAAACCAGAACATACATGGATGCAGAATAATATGAATTCATTATATTCTGTGGTTTCTCATCAACTCCTTACAACCATATATGTATTGAAAGTCAACATTGAAGTAAGATATCGTGTGAAACAATTGACATAGATGAATGAAAATAATTGGAATGACAAAGGTTATTATTAACTCTATACATATGCACAGCAACAAGTCGTAGGTTATTTAGTGTTGGAATTGAGGTTCAGAGACAGATAAGATAAATTGTGTGATAATTTTAGAGGTTGTAAAAGGTTTACATAAGATTCCTGTAATTAAAAACTGATAAGATGGGTTACGTAATAATTGAACAGGATTTGAAGAGTGAACAGAATTGAATGAATGGAAATGTTTATGTGGTTTTAATGTACAGAAAATAAGACTTCGGTAAGAGAAGACCATATAACAAGATTAAGATAATGACAAGAATGATATACTAGGGTAGTAATAGGTTGGTTACTATATCCTTTTGGCTACATAAATCAGGCTGGAGTTTTTTTTAGTATCGCTGTTACTTCAGCAAACTTTAACAACCAGATCTTTAAACCATATATACTTCCTGAATCTCCTAAACTTACAAATGGATTAGTTAATATGCTTAATTTTTTTATCTTATTCTACTTAGAAAAGATGTTTTTTATGTAAACAATTTTTTTGAGGATTGTTCATCAACTATTATTCATTGTTGAGAGAAACATATCAGTCAATTATCATATGATGAATAATCTTATCAGCATTTCATTAATTATTATTTACAGAACCAAAAATAAACTCATAACAGATTCTAAGTAGTAGATGCTTGCTTTAGAAAAATATTTTTTTCAAATTTATTCACATTGTTTTATCATTTACTAGTAAAAAATGTGAAAATGTTTTTCTTTTTTTTCGTTTTTATACATTTAGTATGATGAAAATGAACTGAGTGTAAAAACCCATTAAAGAACCAGTGGACATTATACACACCTGTATATATATATATATATATATATATATATATATATATATATATATATATATATATTGGTTAGATATACTTCCATTGTTTTTATCAATGTATTCTTTCTCCTCCATCCTACTCCTTGTCATATATTTTTCACTATGTCATATGTATTTATCTGTATAACTGTGTCTTTATTCGAAATGATAAACGAGCAGTTTAAAGATAATGTTTCACGAATTCACATTTCTACTATTATTTTGTACTTTTATTGATCTTACAGTCCGTTATTTAGCATTTTTTCAAAATATTTATATCTTTTCATTTCCTAAAGGAAGATGGTGTTCATTCATTGTCGTTTTCATCCATACCAGCGTCATTTACGAATATTATTATTATTGTAAGATGTCGGTAAAACTTCAATGTTTTCTACTAGTTTCCTTTCACATGAGTCTCAGCAATCTTTTAAATTATCATACGTATTTACAAGCTACATCTTATAGATTTTCAGTAAACCAACGTTGATAATGATAATGTTAACACGTATCGTTATCACTATTATTATTATAATAATCAACAAACTGTATGTACACATGTCAATCATACTTTTTTCCTATAGATAAATATTATTTTCTTTCCTCTCATATAAATGAATTGTTCTTTGTTTTATTAAAATCATATCTATATATCAATAGGTCGGCATTTCATTGTTGTAATTATTCACTTATATATATATATATTCCTATGCTTTTAATTTTTAACATTTGTAAATTACTTAAGCTGTTCTTTTTGCCCTCTCTCTTTGATTTGTTTTCTTTCTTCCTTTTTTTCATGATCCTTCCTGGAACTTTAAAATTATTTCATATTAGTCTTTGGTTCATTTTACCAATTGTTATTATTGTTATTATCATTGATATCAAAGTTTATTCATCACATATATACGAATATATATCATTGCACTTGTGTTTTTTATCTGTCGTAATTAAAAATGACATCGTAAATATCGTTACGGAAAAAACAATCATACTAATGACAGCCATTTCACAAACATACAATAGAAATATCACAAGTCTGGTCACTACGCCGTCAATTTGTCTATAGAACTCACTGTTAAATTTAAATTGGACATTCAGAGTGCATCAAGGATATTCTTTCAAACAGTATATTGGAATACGGATATCAAGTTTGTTGTTTTCAATTTGATTACATAGTAGGGGGATTGTTTTTGTCAGAGGTATATTTGTAGGAAGAGAGGCAACATCTAGTGCGGTCATCCTTCCAGTTATGTTGGTACTTTATATTGAACCAAAGAAATTTTACGAATAAGTAGTTGTGTATCTATTGAGTTGTTTCCTGACGTCATAGAATTTCAGCTAGCCATTTGGCGATGGTATGATATGGCGGGTAATTCATGTGTAGAATAGTACGAAGAGGCGGGATCCTTCTTATGTACTGTAGATCATCAACGTAGATGATCTATGTCGATTGAGTTAGGCGAGAATGATGTAACCCACCAGCTAACGTCAAAGTCATACATCACAGTTAACACCTATTGTGAATTACCCTTTCGTCGTGTCTAGGTATTAGGGCTACTTTGATGATCGTGCAACACAAACGACGTTATTACAGAAATAATATCAGCAAGAGTAGGTACAAGAAACAGTGCTATGGTGTGCTACTGATATCGACAGATATGAGTTATATGTATCACCAATCGAATGCGGAATGCCTGATGGCAGAAGGTTGAGAAGATCGGAGGAAAGGAAATGAGAACAGGGAGTGGTTATTATGGGAACGAAAGAACAATAAAGTCTTCGAGAATTGATGGACATTTTGCAAATATAGTATTTACTGTATGGTTCTCAGATTTTACTGAGAGATTATGTAATTTTATGGTTAGATATATCTGTTTGTCTCCATCTGTGTCCTCGTTCACTACAGTGCTACCGGTTTGCACGGGCCAGTGCATGGCCTACGATTAGCTGGTGCGCCTTAGTTGTATTCGACCTTGGCGTGTATTTGTATTGGAATTCGCCGAAAAGAAAACTCTTTGCTGAACTAATCTTTCTTATCTGTGAACTGTTCGACACTCAATGACCTGGCTGCCGGGTGATTTGGTTGGAGCTCAATGACACTTCTTTGGCCTAACAGTACTTTAGAGAGTTCATATAATCGTGGGACAATGGATCTAGTTGGTCGAAGTCTTTGATTTCCTTAGGAATTTCAGTTAGTTTCAGAAGTCCAAATCGCCCAGCTACATTCAAGCAGTGCATTGTATTCCGTGCTTACCCTGAGGTGTAGAGGTCTTCATAATCCAGTCAACCATCAGAAAAAGAAAGACGGCAAGAGTAAACAGTCTGACACTGGTCTTCATTAGGAATATGCCTGTCAGCTGTCCTCCATACATGAATGTGCACTGTAGTCCGTTATAGGAGTACTGTATGATAGCGACGATCTTTTCAACTACTGATTCTACAGTGTCGAAGCGAGTTCCATAATGTTCTATCCACACTGTCCAACACTGTCTCATAGTCAAGCAAGTTGATGTATAATGACGAATTTCATTCAATTGATTGTTCACAAATGATCTATAATTTAGACTACAATGATTTGTATCCAGAATAATACTTTTGACGATAAAACTTAACAATCATAATTGAATTAGCTTAGGTTTATATTATAAAAATAATCTGAACTTCTCAAATTACCCATTAATTTAACAAGTATAATAAAAAGTTATAAATAATTAAATGAATAGATATTTTACTATTAGATTTCTTCTTTTTAAAGCTAACTGTAAAACATAAAACACTTTTTTATGAAGTTACCAACTAATTCTTTCATCCTGTATGATATACTTATATACAATCTTTCTTTTATATATCACTATCATTGAATTAACTATTTCTATGAATTCGGTGTTCATCTTGTGGTGTTAATGAGGTATAGCAACTTGGACCAATACATATATTTGTTTGGTCCTATGTTGTAACTGACTGATTTGTAGAAAAATTTCATCTATGAGATAATAAATTCGTTGAAATCTCAATAAATTTATGGATAGTTACAATGTGTATTTTACTCAATAAGTTTTCAATTTCAAGTAAACACATAAAGTGATTTGAATAGAATTCAGTAAAAAATTACCAACAATATTTATTTACTTTTTTTCAGTTTAAAAGTGTTTCTGAGTATATGTTAATCTGTTAGTATACAAATTTAATGGTGAACAAAAGAAAACTGACAAACTTATATATTCTATGACCTATCAGGATATCAAGACATCACCTAATGCTGACTGTCGAGCACGGAATACAATGCACTGCTTGAATGCAGCTGGACGATTTGGACTTCTCAAATGACCATGCTTTTCCATCCCATACACACCAACAGATTTATGTCAACCGAAACAGTGTAGCAGCAGCCTCAACATACATATGGGTGAAACCAAGATCTGCAAATACAGCACGGAGAACATCAAGCCAATCACACTCGGTGGAGAAACTCTGGAAGATGTGGAAACCTTCACGTACCTGGTCAGCATCATCGATGAATGAGTAGGATCGGATGCAGACATAAGGGGCTCAAAAAACTGTCAGACAACATCTCAGTCAGAATCTTCAATATGAATGTCAAGACAATCCTGCTATCTGGAGCTGAAACGTGGAGAACTACCACAACCATAATCAAAATATACAAGTATTTATAAACAGTTGTTTATGCGAGATACTCAATGTGAGTTGACCGGCTAACATCAGCAACAGCCTACTGTGAGAAAGAATAAATCAGCTTTCATCTGAAGAGGAAGTTAGGGGAAGACGTCGGAGTTGGATAGGACATACATTGCGGAAATCATCAGACGGCATCATGATCCAATCTCTAATTTTGTATTTTGAGGGAAACGGATGACCAAAGGACACATTTCATCGGTAAGTGGAAGCAGAAACTTGAAACAGCTTGAAGGGATTGCCGAAGATATAGTTTGACAGATAATTCTTGTGGACGGCCTACACTCCATGTGAGCTAACAGGCGTAATTAATGCTTAGTTAATTGATTGAGAATTTGGCATTTTAACACTGAACTCTTTTTTTTATTTTAGTTAATGAATGCTTTTGTTTTGATAAATTATAAAAGTATTTTGATTTGTGAATTACTAAAGGATTTTCTGTACATAAGTTTTAATTTGTACCCGTTCTATGACAATCCGTTTCGTAGTATAGATAACTTTTAAAAAGATTCTTATGGGACATGATGCTTACCAACTTAGTAATTTGTTTAGTTGACAACCAGACATTTTAAGGAAAAATTTTTTTGTAAGATCGATAAAACTTATAGCGCAAGTAAATGTATAGATACACACTGATCTGTCTTAAATAGTGAGTTTGTCTTTAATATATCCTTGAACTAAAGATTCATTTGAGATTATAGTTTGCAGCTCAAAAGTATAAAATTCTTTTCAATGATTTAAAAATCTTGTTTCTCAGTATCTCTTCACCATAATCGCTTTCAAACTCAATTTTCGTAGATAGGATTTTCTGCAATGTTGTATGTTCTCTTTTACTCTGCACATACATATATGTCAGTTATTATTTATGAGTATCTGCCTGGGTTTGTTCACCAGTGTGAATTCGTCTCTCCCTGGAGAATAGGGAGTTAATCAACTTTCTCTTCTGATTTTGTATTCAGTCCGTACCACGTTGACTTTCCTTACATCCATCTTTGCAAGGAATTTTCTCGTGTTATTTTAGTAGAACATTAGAAAAAGAAATCCCGATTTTCTTTCTGATCATAATGTTGGTTAATAGCACCCGTTAAATTCTTGTTGAATGTTGTTTATTGAGATAGATACGTCATGAAAAATTCCTCGTGTGGATGAAATCTTCCTGTTTTATGGTCCATAGTGGCTATGAGATTATCAGCTAGAACTTAGCTCATTAGTGACACCTACTCTATTGGTTTGTCTATTCTAATCCACTCATCAAATGTACATCGAAGAAGTAATTCTTTTAGGTAATGTTTTCTCACACCGTAAATGAAGTTGTATTTTTAAA